CAAACTCCAGAGCTTTACGGAAAGATTTGGATATTTTTGACATTTTGTATCTGGGAGGATGGTTTGGGATCAAATATCTCCTCTGGAGCAAAAAGATGAACCAAAGTGAAGTCAGCAGTCAAGCAACTGAAAATTAAACTTGCAGCTAAACACAATTATGCCTGAGGGATGAGAATTGAGCACTTAAGATGCCAGCGGTCAAACGGTCCATGGATGACCAACCCAGGCTCACCAATCACAGCGCAGGGTGAGAGGTCAACCTGCTCTGTTAAGCCCATGCAGGTATTAAAATCACCTCGGGAACATTGGGTGAGGGGCCCAACATGACACATGCTGATAAACACCTAAGAAAACATCAAATGGATAAAGTCCGCAGACACCACTTGGAAAACATTTGGGTGCAAACACCTTAAACACAAACTACACTAGATTCATGTTTTTTGTCAATTATCATTGACAACAAGAAAAATATGGCCAGTTAAACAAACAGTTGCTGGTCCATAAAACATTTTCTCTAACAGCTCTGGCCACTGGACCACACACACACATGAATTGGCTCTAAAGAAAAGCTTTTGTCAGCCCCCACAGGTGTGATGAGGCTGTGGATAAGAAGGTCATGGATGTTTCCTTTACTATGTCATGCTGAGAGATGTGACAGGAGATGTGACATGAATGGAGGAGGCAGGGGGTTGTGGGCTGTCAGCTAATGTGGCATTTTGGTCTGGGGACCACCCAGACAGAGAAGCTAAAAAGAAAAAGAAAGAAAAAAAAGAAAGAAAAACTAAAAACATTAACACATCTTCACATACAAAATTTAGATAAGTTAATGTAATTCCCAGCTCGGAGAGGGAGGTAAGACAAACCCTCAACAATATCAAGGCTTTGTGGAAAGCACTCCATCAGAGTCTTGCAACAAGATCCAACTGCTACAGAGTCTGCCTCGAGGCTTTCAGGTGCACAGGCTCACCACTGCCTGGATGATCATCAGCAGAGCTACAGCCCTAATTAATATAAATGAGACCACAATCTGAGCTTTAACCTGAAGTCAAAGAGGAGCAGTAAACTTTCAGACAAAGAGCAGACAGCGCAAACCCACAAATGTAGGTTGATACCGGCTGGGGGAAGGTGAACGTGAGCTGGCAAGCGCGACGAGACCAGACAAGCCCACTGTTTTGGAAAAGAAACAGTGACCTGCAACTGTTCATGGCATTCCTAAGAGACACTAACACAAAACATCCCGCCCTGTCTCAGAAAAAGACACTCAACTAAAGTCTGGAAAATCTTAAGAGCCCAAAAAGACAAAGACAGGCGCACAACCCTCATCAGAAGAGCAGTGAAACCCTACAATGAAGAGGTTATGAATGCCCATTAATCACATGACTGGGTCTTTTGAACTTCTCCTTGGGTATTAAGTAAACCAATACTGTACACAGAGAGAAGTTATTTCCCAGTGGATAAGAATTCGCTCTCATTCACCGCATGTGTTCCAAAACCAGTCGAGCATGGACAGAAATGTGAAAGGTATGACTATTATTAGGATCTCAATATTTGATTTTGTGACAGTAAGTAGTGGAACCCATCCTGATGCCTTATGCATAACGGGATTTACACGAAAAAGGAAAAAGAGCTCATGTGTTGTTTTCAATATCCCGGGTTCCATTCACAAATTCCCTCCTCATCTGTCTACTTTCTGTGTTTGATGAGCGTAAGACCATATACAAAGGAAACAGGGAGAAGCCAGGTTTCTTCACATTAGAGCAAGTGTTTTTTCCCCTCAGAATGTAAATCAGCAGTCAGCAGTAAGAGCAGAACGGGGAGCTTTGCAGACTTGGTGTCTAATAAACTCTAATCATATTAGACCTTTAACAGGCTCCAGGCTGGATTTAGACAAGGAAGGAGGAGGTACATGGGGGAAATATTAAGACATTTAAAAACAAAAATACAGCTTGTGTCACTGACTCATAAGAGAAAATAACAGCTGACTCACAAGTCCCTGCATGGACTGTCCAGAAGGTAATGGCTACTCTGTAAACCTCTGTGGGAAATACAGAGGAGGCAGGGCAGAAGTGTGATCATGTTGAGAGAGTAGGGAGGAATAGACAAGAGGCCAACTTGAAAAATTCCCAGTGGAGAGCAGTAAGTATAAGTTTGCCAGTGTGTGGGTATTGTGAGGGTGTAATGAAGGGGTTCTGTCGAGCAGGCAGAGGTCAGGCAGCCGGGCAAAAGGAAAGTCTTTAACAACAATATGATGTCATCAAAGACAGCCAGCATTACTCACTGACCTCAGACACAAGAATTTTTATGGGATCTGTCAACATGAAAGTAAAGACAGAAAATGCCATAACAATAAAAAAAAAAAATGTTTTCTTTTTTTTGGAAAGCAACGAACATAAATCAAATGAATGTAATACCAAATTAGAAAGCGGTATTTTTTTTCCCTGTTTCTTGAGACTCAGTTCTGTTGACATGAATGTAATGAGAAATAATGCCAGAAGGAAAGGCTTTTAAATGGTTAGAGGCCTTTACAAAAAAAAAAAAAGCATTCCCTGGTTTAAAGTTCTCATTACTAACAGACAATGCCCTAATTATATTCCCAAAAGGTTAGGAAAGAATAGAGTCTCATTTCATATGAACAAGCACACAATGACAGACACACACACACACAAGCCAACACTCTTGAATCTTCATCCCAAGAGCATTACTACTTCTAAATGCATCCTAAAATAAACTCTAGCTGATCTAAAACACTATTAAAAATGAAAAAATGAACTGAGGGTTTTATAACAAAGGCGGAAATTATCATTGCAGAAAGCCTATTTTTGGACTGTGGGAGAGCAGGCTCTTATCTCCAGAGAACTACACTGAAAACTAAAGACATCCACTCACATCTCTAATTCCGATCCACTATTCCCAGTTGCCTGTGACCCCAACTCCCAAACCCCGACCTTTGACTTCCTGACAGCTCAAACGCCTTTACTTGGTCTCACGCAAAAACACAGCTGAGCTATGTGTTCCCAATCAGAGGGAGCAGAACGCTGTGTTTTACAAGTCCATAGTGGCCGGAGGAGGACAAAACATTCACATGGGAGGTGAGTCACAGACAACCGCAGCCCAGCAGTAAAGACAAGCCTTTTTACTCCCCTCATGAAAGAAATGCCAAAGTGCTGCGTAGAACAACTGCTGCAACCCCAGAGCTGTTAAGAGGAGGGGCAGAGAGCGCACTGGCCAAGGTTACTCACTAAACATTTGTCTTTTTTGGTCCCGACACCCTCACTTAACACTCATCAGTTTCTGTTACGGGTGGCCTTACACACACACACACACAAACACACACGTCCTCTCCTGGCCATTCTGCACACGTCGGTGTGTCAGAAGGATCAGAGGAGACACCAAAAAAAACCCTGTCGTGCATCTGTCAGACAGTCCCCACCGTTCTGCCCTCCCAGACATTATCTGGGCATAGAAGAATCGGGGGTGGAGCTGTGCTTCAACAGGAGCAGCCTCAATGTTTAAAAGACACCCCCCCACACACACACACAAGCCAAAAAAAAAGGGGACAGATGATGAACAAAAAAGAAATGGGACTGAGGGTTTCACCCGGGAGCACTGAAGCGTGCAGCACCCATGGAGCACTGGCCAGAGATCAGGCTGGGCAATCAAGCAGGAGCTTTGATCTCAGCCTTTTATGTTCCAAAAATCTTACACCTGCACAGCCGCCTTTTCTTGTTCTCTGTCATCAGCAGAACGTCTTAAGACAGCAGAAAAGACCATAGAGAATTAGTCAATAGCATGTCATTTCACAGAATCACTAAAAATGCACATTTGTACACAGTGACTTGATGCAGTGCAGTGTTGTCCTATCCATTTACTCAGGAAGCAACATGAGAGATGAGATAATGGTACAGTTTCAAATGACAACCTCTTTATTTCCACCAAACAGCCTTCTCAGAATCGGAGGCATTGAAGGGGGGATTCCAAAATGTACAAACAGCTTTGAAATGGTTACAAATCTTCTGAAGTGATACTTTGCCAAATGAGGCAGGTCCCCCCCCCAGTAGCAATTTACAGCAAGGTCTCTGATCTTCATACCTGCATGGCTAGGCAGATACATTATCAGGGCTTTGACATTCCAATGATTCTACACAAGACCTTGACATCTTTTCATCTACACCACCCTCCCCTCATAGAAACCAGAGCAGCTAAAAAAAAGGGGGCATACGGATCTTTGCCTCTTTTTCCCCCCTCCCTCTCTCCTTCACATTTTCTGGAGCCATCTTAAGTGGGATTTGGGAATAATTCTACCATTAAAATGTTAAAAACAAGTACTTCAAACATCAAATCAAGATAATTCAGCTAATAGTTACAAGAAAAGCTATCTTTCTTGGAATGCTTTAAACGTGAAAAAAAGAAGTCTGATTTAGCACAAAGAGGATTGAAGTGACATCTAAAAACTTAGCTGTTTTTTGCTTCACTGGGTTATGAAATAGAAGGTTGAGTGCCATTTTCAACGTTTTACTGTCACCTCAATCTAAACGGAAGGTTCCAAAATAAAACTGAATGGGCATCACCTCCAGACATGTATCGACTGTCTTAAGAAGTCCTCTTGGTGTTTTAGATAAAACCATCATGTGGTCTCACCTTGATTAACACAAAAACAAAGTAAATCAAGGATTTTAAGAGAAAGCTGGTATCAGCGAATAACAGAAAGCTTTCAGGAAAAGTCTGTCTGTCATCGCCATGGATGGTGATGGCATTTGAGTTTTTTGTGGGTAAACCACCAACTGCTCCAAGTCTCTGCCTGTGGTAATGTTGGGCTGCTTTTCAACTGGCCAGCTCTGATATCACCGTAATAACCAATAATCCGCAGCAAAGACTAGAGAGCCAACATGCTGCTTTTAATCCCGACAGATTTGCCTCTTGTTTTCTTTCAGCTTGACCCTCGCAATGAGAATGACAGATTGGAACTTAATAATGCCTGTTCAGTCCCTCAAGATACTTACCCGGACAATGGTGCTCTTAGCTTGAGCTCGCTGGGGTTGTGCTCCCGGGGTGACCTGGTCCCTCGCCCCACTTCCATGTACTCTGGCCACGGCTCCGGAAGTGCCATTTGTGCAGACTCCAGTCCCGGAGCCTGCCCTCCTGGGCCTCTGCTTGATGCCATCCAAAAGGCGCACGAGGAGGATGTTGCTCGGGAGCTCGTCCACGGCACACTCCACCAGAGTGCGGCACTCCGGGCAGCGCAGCTCCCCGCGCGAGCCAAGGATGCCTTGGAGACATCTGCGGCAGAAGGTGTGCTGACAGGGAAGGACCTTCGCCGAGGCATCCAGACGCTCCAGACAAACGGGGCACTCCAGCAAATCCAGCAAAACGGACTCGTCCATTATCTGTGCGTTGTGCCTCTACTTCAGAAAATCATGATGTTGGCTCTTTTTTTTTATTTGTGTGTATTGTTTTGTTTTTTGGTCAGATGCAGAGCCAAGCCTTTCACGTCACTCCCATGCCTCGGCTATGGCCATGGCATTAGCATCAGCTATGAAAAAAGGTCAAGAGACGCAAATTAGTCAACTGTGTACAGGAGAAATAGGTCACGTTATCCATCCAGCAGACGTGACATATGGCTGAAGCCCCAACGGAGTGATAGACAAATCCACGCCATGCAAGTGTGCCACTGGGCGATAACTTGATAACTCGTGAAAATATACCGTGCTTTTTTATCGGTAGCTTAAAGAATAAGGGACAAAGGGTAACTCCACGTGATATAGTGATCCTGGAGACTTTAAATGGACAAACAAGCCGTGAGTTGAACAATAAAGGGGGACATACAAGAGTGAATTACTCTGATTTGTCTGTCATAAAGGACAGCGGAATTTCATCAATATATTTCGACAGGTGAAAGATGAGGGAAAGAACCTGATCACGGCTATCATATCTAATATTTGCCAGTTTTTATAACAAAGATACATTTAAATAAAGATTATACCTTACAGTTGTAACAATTCTTAGCAGAGTGACAATATTATGTAACACTTACAAAAATACATACTGATATGTTTACACTACGGTACGAGTATAAAAGTGGAGTTTATTTAGCTATGTAAGACATTAAATTGAAAAAAGAAACTCCCAAATTGCAAATTAAGGCGGGTTGGCGACGACAGCACGCAGTCTAGTTTTACTTTAATGTCGCCACAAACAAAACGAACAAGACAAGACACGGTGGGGCTTTTACAACGTTCGAAATGTAGCTTCAAAAACTTATAACAACCTTTATTTACAACGCTTCGAAGCGCCCCAGACAGCTAAAAGCAAGTCAGCTTACCTCTTCCGAAACAGGACTCCTCCTCTTGTTGCTCCGTATCTCCCAATTCTTTTTTTTTTTTTTTTTTTTTTGCCTTCTAGCTAACGTTAAGTTAGCAACCTATTCAAAAATTTACTCACCACTTATCTATTAAGTGTTGTGCAAATTCTATCGTAACGCTGAGAGGGTTTTTTCCTTCACATGTGTGTGAGTTCGAGAATAAGCGTTCCTCTGTCAGAGACTTGAGTTAAACCTAACGTGAAAAAGGCACGGGCGAGACAACGGAACTCCGGGCGCACGCAGCGCCATGCTAGTACTTCTGTTCGGCTGGAGTATCGCTGGAACAGGCGGAGAGGGGGAGGGAATAGTGACGGGTTCGGGTGCACATGGGAAAATGGACAACTCGACGAATGCGTCAAAAAAACTTGAGCCACAAACAGAATGTAATTGAAGTTTAGCCTACTAAAAAAAAAAAAAAGTCCTCACACCACAAAAATATAAACAATGACAGGGATACGAAGCCACGTCCTTACAGTCTTATACCTTACTCACACCTATTCGAAAATAAAACGATGTTTCACAGGTTAATATAGTTTTAAATAATCAAATTCATTAACAAAATAACTCTTATGTGATGTAAAATGGTAACAATTTAAAGTAAATTAACTCAACAACAAAAAAACAAAAACATAACGACTCAGACACAGGAGACCAGATTTTCAAGATGACATTGAAATAAGTAACCAATTGATTAACCTAAACAGACGGTAGAATGAGACAAAAACATGTCCAACCTCGCTCTGAGACTTTAGCCATTTAATAAATGTAACTTCATCAGTTAAGCTTTCATTGTGTTTTTTTCATACACTTGTCACCATACAGTAGTATAACACTGGGAACAACATGTTAATTTGAAGATTTCCGAGGTGTACCGGAACGTGACATTCAGCGTGTAAAAAAGGGCGTGAACTGAACCCTCCATTCTTGACGACTTGTAACAGAGTCAGAAAACAACAATTTCGTGTTGATTATTTGTTTATTGTTTTCTTTTTACGAACACATTTATCAGTCTCTTTCTTTCACAACTTAACTCCATATTTTTTATATCATCTTTATCTCTTTATGTTTTATGATACTCACTTTTGGTGATCCAGTTTTCCAACTTACACACAAAGTTATGTTCTCTTCTGACATGCAGATATAATGTAACCTATTATGATCTGTAAACGAAAGAAAGCATATTATAAACAAACTTGTAGTAGTTGTAGCAAATTGAGATGGGGAGAAGTGAGTAGGGACCTCTGGTGGTCAAATTTTGCAGTAATCTCTGATGAGAGGAAATGGACAATAAATAATGTGTAAGAAGTCATTTTCTGCCTCTAGGTCACCATCCCTTTTTTTCTGGAGGCCAAAAAAAGTGGTGGTCTCATCAATCTTTCTACAAGAACAAATAAAAAGGCCCGTAGAGGGAGATGATTGCTTTTCCAAAGAGGTTATTTTGATGGCAAAATATAAATACTGAGTAGAGCTTTATTGCTAAAGTAACCTTCACACCTCAAGCACAGAAATGAAGGAGAGAAAAGAGAGCCTGCTAGATGCATCCAGATAGTAAACGTGATTTATTTTTATCTCGTTCAGAGGACACTGCATATTGAGCAGGAAGGAGAGATGAAGGAGAGCAAGCAAAGAGCAATAAAGTAGGAGATTTATTTGGAGGTGGCCCTTCACTGTCACACGTGATCCCAAAGGAGTTGGCAGGAACCCCCCAGGTCATATTTTCTCTCCATGAAGAGGCGGCACTCCACCCCCACCACCTCCACTTCCACACAATGGCTCCCAGCTCTTACCTTTCTTTGGCTTGAGCCCTTTGTATCACTGCACACTCGAAACTCAGCAGAGACTCTGCATAAAAGGCTTTATTCAAAATTGTTTCAATGTCATTCAAACCAGCAACAAGATTTGCTAATGCTAAAAGCCAAAAATCACTTCATAATGACTACACCTGAAGGTTGGGGAGGAAAACAAGATCACTTCACGCTCACTCAGAATAACAGCTGACAGCTGTGAGAGCGGGGGGGAGAAGACAGACGTCCCAGTTCTCATTGAAGGATAGACCTTGACAAAAAATACTGCTCCCTCTGGTACAGCTAATAGATATTCAAGATTGAAGGCTCTGATATAGATTGAATACCAATGAGAAAAACCTTTTCTTTTTTTTTCTCTTTACAAATGAATAAAGTGGAGATAACAGAGCAGCAGTGATATCTACAGGCTGACATTTTATTCTGTAAGACGGTTCTGTCTCAAATTAAAGCAGCCCTAATCCTTTGTCCTAATGTGGTCCACAGATCAGGACCCTGATATTCACTGATCCTCACTTTGATAAAGCTTTTAAACTTACTCACTCACCCTGAGGCATTCTGCTTTCAAATTACATTAGGGACTATTACTGACTTCAAATGATGCTGGCTGAGAATACCTGAGTGCTTACATTTCAAAATAAGGGTGATTTTCTCTTTTCCTGTGAAAAAAACAAATCAAACACGAGGCAGTTGGTAAATGCCTGCCAACATTAAGTATATTGCATTTAAATTGTTATGAAACAATATCGGGGCTCCCGTGAGACTCGATATTCAGAAATGACTTTCCATTTTCAGTCTAATTTGGACGCAGTTGTGAGCAGCGCCATGATGAGATCTGTTTATTATAGCGTATAAAAGCCGCAACCTGCCAGGTCTGAAGTGATGCCATAATAAATGCATGTTTACCACCAGCAGGGTGAAACAGCAGGGTTAGATTCCCATCAAGCTGAGCCTGCAGTCATTATTCTATCACCTAGTCTAAAAGAATGAAAGAAAGAAATAGGTGTTTTGGTTGAAAGCACAGGGCTGTTTGGTTAAACTGAATTCACTGCAGCAAGTTTAAGGAAGAGTTTAATTAAAATCATATCAGACATAAATCAGGCACCTATGCATAACACAGCAACACAGCTTGGAAATACATGTTTTGTTGATGATGGAAGTCTTAATCATTCTGCAGTTTCATCTCACTAGTGGCAGTTGTATGCCCAGGGAGTCAATTGATACATTTCATTTGACAAAAGCACACAAAATCGTATTGATTTTACTAAGAGTTTCAGCTCAATTCCAGGGCCAATGTTTTTGCCTTCGTTGTTTGTAATTAGAATGTAGATTAAATTAGTTATGGCTTTCCATTGAGATAATTGGGTAGTTCAGAGATGAATGCACCATTTTTTTACATATTGTTCTAAGTCCCTGCCAGTATGGCTGAGAAGACTCATTAAATATGTTAATGTAATTTATTATATTGATTCCTTTTTTTTTTTTTATCAGGAGTCCGTGCTTGTCCATTTAGTTTTCGAACGATCACACACACTTTTTGTAATTGTATAGGGAAGAAATGGTTTCTTCCTCTCTCACTTTGCTTTTGTTTTGCATCCGAGACGTCTCTGTGATTCCTCTCAATACGTCTTTTTCAGGGATTTACTTCGACTTTGGAAAGCTCAGTCCTGCTCCTGTTGCCATGGATCATGACAAGTGTAAAAAGTACACACGAGTGAGGATTCTACGTACCACATCAGAAAGGGTTTTTAAACAAAGGCATTTGTGATATGATTCCATAGGGTGTGGAACTTCAAACAAATTGCGCAAGCTGACAAAAGGGAGGGCGAGAATTCTGCTGAAGGGCTGAGAATGAAAATATTGTTGTGTACTCATGAGTGCCTGCGAAGCTAAGGGACCCTTTAAAAGGCACAATGGCTTATTTTGAAACCATTTTAGGACGACACTTTTCATTAAATGATTCTCATAAACATCATATGAAGACAGATAAAACGCATTCCATTGTCTATCTTTTAACGATTAAGTTTGCGGAGAGAATTTTGAAAGAAAAAGAAGAGGAAAGTATTAACATTTTTTTAAAAAGTGTTTATTCCATAAAAATATTTACAATATTTAAATTATAATCAAACATGAGTTATATGTAGCATCTAAAATCACTAGTTATATAATCAGGAGAACTCTCCGTTTCAGTCTGACCTGGCCCACGCGTCGCATCGGCCAGGCGTGCTACAGTGCAACAGTCTCAGTCACAAAAACCTCTCACCTTTCACATGAGTTAACAGAAACGGTAAGAAATGTGGAAAACGCATTAGACGGTATTCAACTTCTGGCTTGGACGAAAGCTCTTGTAAGAAAAAGGAGGTTCAGCTGGTTTTTGAGTAAATGACGGTATGTGTGTGTGTGTGTGTGTCGTGGGCCACCTGGCTAACGTTGAACATGTAATAATAGATGAAAGTGGCACCGAAAGAGAGCACCTGAGAGAAGCCAGATCTTATCCGCCCGAACTGAAACGCCACCGAGCAGCCTCACTGAACCAGCAACACAGACAAGCAAATAGTTCACACTGTTAATTCAAGTGCCGTTACATTACATCGCATAACTTGTGCGTCATTCATTTGCAGACGTGGACTGACACAAACGCTTACAGAAGCTCGGAATGAACTTTGGTTAACGGGAACACAGATTTGATAATGCACTTCTGAGTGAACACTGGTTTAGAGAAAGAAAGAAAGAAAAGAAAAAAAGGAGTGGCAGGTGCCGATAGTCAAAACAACGAAACGCAGTCTCAAGTGTTCTGGTTAAATTTCATGCAAATGTGCCTGAAACGCTGTTCAGAAGTGAGGCCGCCGCAGCTCATGCATAGATCATTCTGCCAGCGACGCGTGTTGTGGGAAGACATCGGATGGTGAGCAGATTGTCACCACTGCTTGCAGCTCCAACGCCCAGAGCGTTATTCGTCATTGTCTAAAAGCGAACACAGCAAATGGAATCATGTTAGAGGAGCAGTGAATGACGCTACAAAAGGAAATAGCACTCTTATAATATTGAATTACATCAGCACTGAATTCTGCAGCACCATCTCGCTCATTTAATCTATGACGAAACACCTCAACAATGATTGAAACCACACACATTGCATTTGGAACTTGCACTTTGCCGCCAAGTAATGTCTCTCCAATCTTAGTGTTTAGTGCTGTTGAGTAAATGTTAGTTCACCAAAGCGCTAAACTAGCATTTTTTCACCTTTTTTTGAGAATGTTAATCTTAACATTTAGCCAAGAGTCTAAGACAATCGTCAATATATTCGCAAGGATGTTGTTACATGAAGCCAAGGTAATAAAAATCATAGGCCAAAGAAAGAAAATGCTGTAACTGTGTCACTACGTAGACGTGTAGCCTTTTTTGGCTTCTTTTCGGTCACATCAGTTCCATAATAGATTAAATAATCATCTTCAATTGAAATTTGTTAACGTCTTGAGACAAATCCTTAGTGTCTATTGCCAACAAAAACGTTAATCTCTTAGTCAACGCTTGAATTTAAGGTATAAATGGGTCGAGATGACAGTCAGCTGACAGTCACCTAACACATCGCATAGTGGTTCTCTCTGAGCTGCTGAGGTATTTTTAAAATAGCTGCTGCTGGATGGGTTGGAGCCTTTAGACACAGTTTTCGCTGCTCTTTAGAACCATCCTCTGGGGAGATGTCTGACAAGTTCGCTTCAAAAAGACAATAAAAATAGAAATCAAAAGGGAAGATATCAGAGATGCTCGATGGGAAAATGTCTGCTGCCGCAATCTGACAAGAGAACCATCACAGCTTAGTGAAGATGCAGCCGTGCTACTACAGAAGACAGCATTTTGAAAGCAAGATTAAACATTTTTTACTTCTTGTGTGCATTTCCATGGTTTAAAGAGGCACTCGGGATGAGGTGAACCTGCTTAAAACAAAGATGAATTAACAAGGTAACTTGCCTTCCTGATAAGCACCGTCTGCCATCACTAGGTGAAGGATGTCGGGGTACAGATGCTGGTGCTCCGTTCCCAGGATGTTTAGGACCAAATTGGAGCCCAGCTCGATATTCTCATCCTCATCTTCGTGTATAGCCTATTACAATGCAAGATAAAATACGATCTGTAAAATCTGTTCGAGGTTAACACTTTGTATAATGGGGTCGTATATGCAACCTCGCAACTTTAATCATTCATGCCTTGATCTTGTTGTAGGCTTCGATGAACTTCTCAAAGCCCATCTGTTGCTCGAGGTTGAAGCGAAGCTCTTCCAGACGACTGAAGATGCTGTCGTGATGCTCTCCGCCCTGGTCTTCTCCACTTCCATCTACAGAGTGAGGACATCGTCAGAGACATGTGCAAAATGAAGCTGTTTAATTTAACTTAGGATTTAGTCCTTTTTTCTGAGATGTTGCAAAACTATATGTAAATAAAAGTAAATAAGACCAATGGCTGTACTGGTGGAAGCTGACATGGCAGAACTACCTGAATGCCATTCTTCATTGAGCTGCTTGTTGTTTCTGAGGCCCTCCTCTCCTACGCCGTTAGAAAGCAGCTCCCCTGCTTCCTCGTCACCAGGACTGCCGGTGGAGCATTCCTCCTCTTCCTCGTCCTCCTCCTCTCCGTCATCGTCATCATCAGCATCCTCGTCGACGGCCATCTGATCGCTGTCCTGGTCAATCTCGGTGGCGATCCTGTTGAGGAGCTCCTGCTCTCTGTCCTCTTGGGGGTTTCCATTAAAGTCTCCAGCTCTCACATCTTGGTGGTTCCTCATCGCTTCGCCCTCCTCCTGCAGCAGTCTCTCCATCGAGGCCCTGATGTCTCGCAAATCTTCATCTTCATACGCACTAGGTGGTAGAGCACAGTGGTATCGCTCAAAGAATGCCATATCCTCACAGGGATTTATCAACTCGCAATTTATAGAACGAGAATAAAGCAAAGCATTACTGTCTAGCAGCAGAGAGTGTGCAGCCTTTGTGCGTCTTTGCTTTGGAAGTGTCACATGTGCATGTCTTACTCCTCTGCTTCTGATTGATCGTCATCTTTAGCGGCCTCTTCCAGGTCCTCTATCTCCAGGTTGTTTTCTGGGGCCACGTTGGCTTTTTTGGTGGCTTCAGTGTCCTGCTGAGAGCTAAAGACACGACTGAGGTCTGGTAGAGAACACGTCCGCAGCATCTGAGAACGGAGTCAAGCAGTTTATTTGGACTGGGCTCAGACAAGCTACAAACAAACAAATCCATGGAGACAAAGAAACTTAGAGGAGATGATATCAGTCAAACAATGGGTGTATAAATTAAATGAGAATAAATACACAAAGTGTTATATTGGGAATGAGCTAATATGAATGAAGTTTGCAGGTCTGCAAAGACCCAGGCAGTTTGTTAAGTAAGGTTATGAAAAAAACAGGTTGATTGATGCTCCTTCTTTCCTATCCCACACACTGCGCATTCAGATTAATAGCTCTGCTCCTTTCAGCACCCCAACAGGCAAAAGCACATGGGTAAAACCAATCAAATACAATGTCGCACACAGCCCACGTTGTTGTTTAATACGTTTTCATTGGTATAGTCTCCGCTAATCACCTTGAGGTTGTTGGTGTCAAACATGCCTGTGGAGAGATCAATGAGGAGAGCGTCCTTTTGCCGGGAGCGAAGAGGTGAGACGGATCGTGAGCGAGAGGCCAGAGAGGAGGATGATTCATCCACGGAGGACTGAGCAGAGAGGACCGCCAAGGCAGCAGTGCGTCGGTGGGCCGGAGAGCACAACTTCATAAAGAGCGGCTCCTCATTCTGGGCCAAAGCTGGTGGGAACAAAGGGAAGGGCGGATTTAATTAAAGGTTATAATTACACGAGAGGAAAAAAAGAAAAAAAGAAAAGGGAGCTCTGCACATCAATCTCACCAGACGATTCATTTGCTCTCGCTGCAGTATCCTTGGCTGGTGTTGGTCTCGTAACACCCTCTGGCGGACTTAAAAAAAAAAAAAATCAGTCAAGTGAGGCACGCAGTTTTGGAAATGTGATGTAATTTACGACAGCGGGTGTGAAAGAGCAAACTCTGAATTTAATATTAATGTTAAACAGTTACATTGGCTCGGGGGCTTCCTGCTCCCATGCTTGCTGCACACTAGCTGGAGGATGTGAGACTTTTTTAGGACTCTCCTCCAAAACTATAGAATCGAGGTCTGCAGGATCTAAAGACAAAAATAAAACAAAGAAATAAAAATCAAGGCAGTTTGCTTTGTACAGTGCAGAACATGCTTTTAGAAAAAGGAGCAAAATGTCTTGTCAATGTCATGTTGAGTTACACTGACCCTGAACCTCAGTCATGTCGGGTGGCAGATGCACATCAGGAGCAGAAATACACTGATCTGAACCCTGATTGACAGATGGAGTCTGACCCACAGCAGATGGAAACATTCCTCTGTCAGTCGATTCTGCTGCCTGCTTTGGCTTATCTGGGGATCAATGAACAAAACTGCCACCGACAAACTATAGCAATGACGAGAGGTTTTAAAGAAGCTTAACTGTATGAAAAGAAACGTGAAGAGTGAATATAACTAACCAGGACTCGAAAGCTTGTCTTCACAGATGGAGACGGCCTCCGGCGGTTGGTTGATTGGCTCAGGCTTTCCCTCCTGAAGCCCCCTCAGCAGCTGAGACACGTGACTGGCTTGGTCCCCTCTCCCGGACGTTTCCTCCAGTAGCCTGCCCATCTGGATGACCTCACCTATTGTTTGATCTGCGATGACATGTGAAGAGACACAAAGTGAAACAATCTACAGCAACAACTTTCCAGAAGCTCGCACTCGTTGCCTCTCAGAGATAGACACCCACCGGTGGTCGTGATGCATGTCTCCTCCAGGGTCTGCCGGGCTACGGAGAGGACGAGGGGAGAGCCCGCCTCCCACTTCTTCCGGTCGCCAGCGGAGGGCACGCTTTCTTCCGGAGATCCTGAAGTGGCTGATGGGAGAAAGTTTATTGGAAACTAAGTGGAGATGCTTCTGAAACTTTCAGACTCAATGACCTACTCCATTATTCATAGTCACCTGACTGTTATATGGCAAGACACTTGTAAAAAAACTAAAATAAACACCCAACAGTCTTATGAAACCGAGTCTAAACTCACTGCTTGTTGTGGCACACGTCTCCCCTAAAGTTTCCTGAGGCACAGGAAGCAGGGGCAGCTCAGCCGCTTCCCACTTCTTCCGATCACCGTTTGAAGGGGGCCGTTCCTCAGGCTCCGGCTCTTTCTGCTGGGGAGCTGGACTTGGTTCTCCAGGCGCAGAAGAAGACTCCTCCACTTCCTCCACTGGGCTCTGGGCTTTTAGGTTCTGGTTAAGTCTGCGCAGGATCTGCTTCTTTTCACTCTGTTGCATCAAAGTTCAAATGGACACGTTTCTAACAAAACAAATCAATCAAATCCTTTAAAAAACACAGGCTAACAACATGTACACACACCTGGATCACTGTGGCAGCCTCCGATGCGTTCAAGTTTTCCTTTTGTGGAGTTATCTGCCAAACACAAACAACACTCCCTTGATTGATACACGTATATGCAACACTACAAGACAGGGTGGGATAGACTTTGCATGAATATACTGACGGCTCCGACATTCTTCAGAGCGGCAGTCATGGAGATATCTGGGGTGGAGAGTATGGATGCAGGCAGGGCTGAAACTTTGGCAGCTGTGTCTGGCTGAGAGACACTGGGCTGTGGAAGAGGACCGTCAGAGGTAGATGATACTGCTACTGCTGCTGCTGCTGCTGCTGCACTGACCTTCACCCCTCTCGCTGCAATCTTTCATAAAACCAGCACAGCCATTGTTAGAGCAAACTTAAAGAACCTTTAAGATCATGTATGAAAACTAGGGTCAAGTGAGGAATTCAAGCCTACATGCTCCTCCCAGGCTTTCTTCTCTTTCTCGTGGGCTTCGCGCCTCTTCTTTTCCAGCTGCTCTTTCAGAACAGCAGCTCGGGCGTTTGCTTGAGCCTGACAGACACAGAGATAAACACAGAAATAAATAGAATAATCAGATCAAACAGTAAAATATCTTCTAAAAAGGGTGAAAATCTGGCCATCACCTGACCTGCAAACACAGAAGGAAAATGGCCATAAAGTAGGAAGAAAAAAAAAAGGGGGGAAAAAAGTCATAAATAGAAATAGGAAGCTGCTTTGAGCTCTTTGCACTAACTTTTAAAGCCTCTATCTTCCTTCTCCTGAATTGTGCTTCCTCACTTGACTCCTGGCTGTCAGAGCCGTCGCTGTCACACTGAAGTGAGAAACATAATAAACAACACCAAGGAGAGAAACAATAACACACTCATTACAGGCACTTTCAAAGGATGGAGCAACGCACCTTCTCTCCTCTGAGTCGGGCTTTGATCTGCTGCCGCTCATTGAAGTTCTGCAAGCGGATCTGCCTGAGTCTTGCCAAGTACTCCTGAAGACAAATGCGACATACTTAAAGTGAGAAAATTATATCAAGAGTCATATTCACATACACGTGAAATTATATACATGCCGAGCACTATTAGCATGTCATTAGATTAGCATCAACAGCCAATCAAAAATAAGGAACAAACAGGAAAAATATGTTTTCATACAACCAGGTACATGCCACAGAAAACATCAATGTTGTTCAAAGCAAAAAAGAAAAAAAAGAATGAATGATTATGTGACATGGAACCAAGGGCGATTGTATGGATCAATAAGCTCACAGTGGAACACCAAACATTATGCGGGGGGTGAATGTGGTTCTCAGCTGCCAAGTTGGATTATGGGAGGGTCACATTATGAGCCAGACGTGCCATGAGGGGGGCGGACAGTGAGGCTGGGCATTCAGGTCTGGACTCCTACCTCCTCCTCTTTGTTGACTTTAGTTCGCCTACACCGAACCACGCCGGGCCGGCTTCCATAGAGTGCGGCCAGATTTTGACGCGTACCCTGTTTGTAGGTCAATTTAACCAGACTTTAGAAGGGTGCAGGCCCCAGCATCCAGCAGCCACAGTGACATAAGTTTGGGCTGCTTATCATTCAACCTCCACTCATCAGTATTCATCTTGGGTAAAATGACAGCTGAATGTAACTATATGTCAGAGCATAATAATGTGTACAAAGCTGTTGCCAGAAGTACAAATTTCCAAAAGATTAATTCAATGATGACAAACAGGAGAAAGAATTTTTTGCCTATTTTTTCCCCTACAAGTCAATTTATTTCGATATCTTCTTTTTACATTTCATTATGCACAGCAGCCTCATTATGTGAATGAGGTTTGTGGTACTTTTGGGAGGGTCAGTATCTCACCTATTGGTCAGTTAAAAGGATACATCACTCACCTTCCTGTTGACCAATAGGTGAGACTCATTGAAGGCAACTTTATTTTCATAATGAAGCTACAGTGGATAAGGAAATGTTAAAACTGAAACATAAAAATACTTAATATTGTGAGAAAATAAAACTGGATTTTTTAAAAGTGTCAAAAAGTGTTTTTAAAAAAAGATATAAACCATCAGAGTCTGATCAAACTGAATCTCCTGTTTTTGTACTTGTATACAAAAATCAGTTGGTACAATGAAATAAACAGAAATGGGAGAATAATCTTAACTTGTGGCCCTAAGGAATTGTGGTATGGATTCATTTTTACATAAAGAATAGTATGTTGTTTCTATTGCTAAAAGAGATTTAAAAGGGATGACTGAAGCTCTTTTTAGGATTTGGACAACTAAAAGAACTTATTGCTGCTTCTATGCTGATATTTCAAGTTAAGTTTACTCAACTGGGGTAAACTACTTGGGACAAAATTATATTAACAAATACATTTCCAAATGTGTTACAAGTCTACCACAAGGGGGCAGTTAAAGCTCTTAAACGAATATACGGCAGCATACTTGTCTGATGCATTATTTATGTGTTAGCCAACAAAGGCTTATTTCAAACATCCAGCTGAAACAAAGCTGCATGGACATAAAATTTGAATTCTCAAACGAACCAGGTTGTGAGCGATAACGCAGCGGTTCATGGTGGGCAAGTTTAATAATTACAATTAAACATTTCAGCCTCTAATAAAAAAAAGAAAAAAGGCTGCTGTGAGGATATATAAAATGCATATCACTGGCTGCGAGACACTCGTGTCAAATGGACATTATTCGCCATTTCACAGATGGAAAAAGCAGGATATCACAGCATAAAGCAGACTCCAGTTATCCTACATACCAGCTGTCCTTCAGCACGGACTTTGTTGATCATGGCCTCTCTCTTTCTCTGTAAAAACTCCTCCACCTGAAAGGCCCGCCCAGCTCCCATCCGACAACCCTGTCTGAAAACAGATCGAAGTACCCAATAGTCTAATTACAGCTCATACAGTGACAAGAGCAGGGATAGAGTTTTGAACTCCATCCCTTTTAAACGTGGGGGTGTCCCTTACTGATCGACTGACCGGCTAACATGGGCCTGTTTTGAAACATGCTGCAGCCTCTGAAGCTCCTTCCTGATCACATCTGGGTTCAGTCGATGAGTGGGGCTGTCAGGCAGCACAGGGCCTGCGGCGGCCGGCAAGCCTCTAACACACAGAGGCAGAACCAATACAGTTATCTAATCAATTAAACTGGCAAAACAAGCGTTTCAAAAAAAGGCGAAAAGGGCTTATTTCAACTTACCGGATAGGACTGCCAGGTCCTGCAGAGAATCCTTCCCTACCGGCATCTTTAGGCTGCGATTTAGCCATGTGGTGGGGGATGGGAACTGGAGTAGGCCCAAGATTAGGGCCCGAGACAGGGGGGGCAACACCTGCAGCCCTCTTACCTCCTACAAAACACTGAGAAGAAAAAAAAGAGAAAAAAAACATTTTATGAGCTACACAGAAGGGCTGAAGTGCATCTTTCACTCTCACACAACATAAAATATAGATATAGCCTTTAACACCTGAGCAACATTTTGTCCAAATGGATGTGCCATTACCTTCCTCTCGGGGCTGCTACCTCCACTTGAGCTCAAGACGTGCTTCCAGCCTTGTTCTCTGGCTTGGTTTATTCGATTGATCTGTACAAAAATCCTAGGCTCAGACTTTTATTAAGTTTAGGTGAAGTCGTACATTGTATTTAGATCTCTTAATGGTCTTTGCTCCGAGGATGTATCATCCAACAGGATACAAAGCCAGAAACTTTTAACAGGTTCCTGATTAAATTTCAAACAAGGGATAAGGGAAGGATCCTTAAAGCTTAATTGGATTAATAATACAGATGTTCACCCCTCACCTTTTCTTTCTCGTATCTTTTCATTTGCTCTGCTTTCAACAGGAACATCTGAAGGAAGCACTGAAATTAAAACTATGGAGTGCAAAAACCTTCAGAGATCACATAGAGGCTAAAGTATAAGCTTACCTGTTCTCTCTGTTTCCTTTCCTTCTCAATCAGCTCCATCCTTTTCTTTCTGATGCCCTCCTGTAAAATGAGAGATAAGCTATTCAAAACACAAAAAGGACTCCTTGGAGAAATCGGATTTGAGGAAAGAAGCAGTGGGACGGCTACGTTTCAGGGCAAGCAGGCCAAAAAGGAGAGGCCGGTTAGGAAAAATAAATAAAGAAATCAGGCAGAATAGTCCTAATGAGCCAGGATTAGAGAAATGGATCAAGACAGTGATTTAGCATTATGGGAGGAGGAAAAACTTTCAAAGATAAATAAATCAAACACTGGTAGGGAGTGACCCACATGTGTGGGTGAGTAGGGAGAGGTAAGACAGGGTGGTCTGACGGGGAATTTAACTTATATGAGGTGCTCAGGTGTACCTCATGCTTTTTCCTCTCTTCCTCCACTTGATTCACTTTCCTCTGAGGGGCTGCTGGGAGAGGGGCCTGAGCAACATATGACACTGGGCTTTAGAGGTTGCCACTATAGTATGATGTCAAAGCAAACATAGAAATGGCAGAGGCCTCTGACATTTAGGACAAGAAGCTTAAGAACGAGTGGCTTCAAAGGAGGGGGAAAAAAAGAAGTTGAAACTCATAAATCATTTACATCCACTGCATACGAACCGGTTTTTGTTTTAAAGCCGCTTTCCTCTCCTGTGGTTTTCTGGTTACGTCTGCAACCTTCTTCACAGTTAAAGGCACTCCATATTTGCTGGCTGGTTTCGTAATCTTCTGGGCTGAGGTGGGTGACAAAAAGGAGCAGTCATTTACAAAAGGATTGACTCAACCCCCCCTGCATTAACAGATAGTACTGCCATAAACATAAAAAGAACACATTCTGGATCATAGCAGAAAGCAGATAAATATAGTCAAAGATTTCTGCAGCTGAGATTAAATTATTAATTCAGATTTCCTTCTATATTGAGAGAAGAGGTTATGAATTTATCCTTCATACAAAATGGGTAAAGTACGGTCTGAAATATCTATTTATTAAAGCTTCCTGCACATTTACTTTTACCTTATTTTATTAGTTTTCGATATACAACACTACAATATTAATAGAATCACCCTGATCACATATTTACAATGAGTGTGCAAGATAATATGCTGGAAATCGGGAAAAAAAACGGCCAAAGCGATACGTAGAACCACTTTGACTGGGTACAAATTATAGGAGCTGCACAATTCCCCTGGTCTTCTCCCAGAGTGATTGTTGCCTGAAGCTCCCCAACTCCTCCAACGGACAGTAACCGGTGATAACAAAATTGCCTTAATTTCAGGCTTACTGGCAAACCAGAAATTATCAAAAAACTTTGGACGACACCTGACTAATGAATATTATTATTATCCAATTCCAAATACAATATTGTTTACTCTGTTGTCTGTGCTTCTTAACTAAAAAAATAATGGGACTCTACAGCAATTATTTTCATGTGTCATGAGGGGGCACTGGTTGCATAATGTAGCTTTGTGCATGGTGTATGTAACAAAATATTAAATCAAACATTTCTTCAGCATTTAATTCCAACATTCCAATTTTTAAGCGATGTTAAAAAATATTTGAAATATGTCTGATTTGGTTCTTTGCTGTGGAATCTAAATAAATCCCACAGTTTGCTTACCAGATGGCACTTGTACCACACCCATTTTAGGCTGCTTGTGAAGAAAAGTATGGCGGAATTCCTGAGCAATGATCTAGAGGAAATTTAAAAAAATGTTTTTTCAGAGAAAGTCCCCATTTATGCCATTTCAAATGACCACTGATTGCCAAGCACTGTACCTGTGGTGTGAGAAACCTCTCAATCCTACAGGACAGGAAAGGTTTGTCCAGTATGCTGCTGACCGAGGGCCTCTCTCGAGGGTTGCGTCTGAACAACTGTGCTAAGAGATAGCGCAGTTCTTGGGAGTAGTGTACAGAAACGGGAGGATATGAGCCACGAATTATCTTCAGAACCAAGTTCTTCATGTTTCCAGCCTCAAACTGGAAGAAAACACACAGTAGTGTTATGACAAGTGTTTAGAGAAACCAAATTAAAACAGCATTTCTGAAACTCTGCTTCAGTGCGAGCTCGCACTGCAGGCCTGCAAATGATGCACTAAATGTACATTAATATGTATATGGCTCACACACAGAATACTTACTGCATGCCTAAGAGTGCACATCTCATACAGGACACACCCTAGGGCCCAAATATCACTGCAGAATAAGGGAAAGCAGGGAAAATGAGAGGACGGAGAGCATACGTAAGGATCAGCAGGGGTAAATTCTGGGGAAAAGTCATCTGTAAATCCCAAATTAACTGGATGGGGGGGGTGGATACTGCAACATTTACCTCACTGGCTGTAACTAAAAGGGATTAGATTTCATGCATAGCTTAAATAGTACAAGAGAGGAAATCAATATTAGCTTCCTGCAGTAGATGTTCATAGGTTTACTCAATAAATATGACATATGATATCCTGACATGACTCTGTAGCCAACACAACATGACAATGCATACAAGGGCATGATATCATTAAATATTAAAGTTACCTGACATATGAGACAAACACCACTTTGCATTTTGGAATACTGTGTACCTTTTGTTATTGTATGGTTTGTTTTCGCAAATCTCTGGTGATAAGTAATATGGGGTTCCTATGCATGTCCTCGCAAGCTCCACAGTGCTGAAAAAAAAAAAGAAATCAAAGAAAAAAAAATTGCCTGAGTCTTGTCTTAATAAAAAAAAAAAAAAAAAAAAAAAATATCTGGACTCATCATCAGACAACATGGAACATACCTGTTAAGAACCCTTGCAATCCCAAAGTCTCCAAGCTGCACTGTCCCATCTTTAGTCAAAAATATATTCTTTGCAGATAATATAGGAAAACACAGGGATTAAGAATTAAGTAAAAGCACAATTCACTGTTTTTTTCTGATGGACGTCCTGCAGTAAGCAATACCTGTGATTTAATGTCCCTGTGGAGGATTTTTCGATCGTGCACATGCTTGAGTGCCAGGCAAATCTGCACAAACCAGTCCAGGATCTTGGAAAGAGACATGGCAGTTTCAGGAAAAACTGAACACCATTCACAAAATGAATGGCCCGACAAGCAAATATTTCATCTTAATCTTAGCAATAGGCTAAATATGGCTGACGCTAAAACTCTGTGGAAATCTGACGTGAATCTCAGTGTTTTGAAGTGTCAGTGGCTTACTTGCTCTTCGGGGAACAGTACTCCCTTCTGAGAGTTGATCTTTTTGAACAGGTCTCCACCCTCACAGTAGTCCATCACTATGAATAAACAGCCCCCCTCTAGAAAGAAGAAAATTGAATTATGAAAGCTCATGAATTATTTAAACAGGCTGCCTATGGAATTTCCCACATAAGGTATCTTAAGGGTTGGGAATACCTTCAAAAGACTCCTTATACTGAACAATGTTGGGATGACTCATGTTGGCAAGAACAGCAACTTCTCTTCGAGATTCTTGCCTCTCTTTACTTGACATCTGCCAAATTTCATAAACTGATTAGGTGGGGAAAGGGAGCTCACATTGATGCCGTCTAAACGCCAGGACTTGTGTATAAGAGCTTACTCCAGATATGCCAATCTCCTTGATGACATATTGGCGACCATCCTGTTTGGCTTTGACGAGGATAGCCTTCCCAAACGAGCCCTCTCCAATTTTCTTCACCTTTTCGTACTTGTCCATGTCACTGGAATGACTGGCTCCTCATTCTGGATCTGCCAATAAGCAAAGAACACTGAAAGCCTGTGCTCGAACAACTTTAGGTTTGACAACGAGTTTCTTTAGCCCACGACAAGACAACGAGTTAATCTACGAGTCGGAATGGTTGTCTGTGACACATGCCAAATGATTCAGCTCAGACGAGCTGTGGTGCTGAGAAACACAACATCCATCTGCCAGAAAGCTAACGTCTCCTACTGGGTAACTAGACGAAGATGCGAGACCCAGCTCATGCCCCGTTAAATAAATGCCTCGTCTGTAGTAAAAAATAAAATAATGCTAACACAATAAACACGAGTTATTTGACGGGAAAGTTTGAATAAAAAAGCTGGCAAATACTTCGCTTACCATTAGTCTTTCTTTTTTCTGCTATCTTGCAGAGGTTTTGGTACTTGCTACTAGACTCACGCTCTCTATCTAACTACAGGATCTTTGTTCTGTATTCTGATTGGTCAGTTTTTGGATTCTCGACAACTGATTGGTTTGTACTGGTGTTCGTTATCTTTCATGACACCCACCCTTAGTGGGACTGTTGCCGTGAACCTCTTCCTTAGCAACCGTAAACCGGACGTGGACGTGCAGCCTCTTTGTCGCTTGTAGCTGCATAACAAAGTTATTTATGCCGTAATTCTGTCAAAATGATTTCAACCCTATTGGTGTTAGGTTGCATGAAACTAAAAAATCTTTAGTAGTTTGACAAAACTGGCTTCATTCCCGTCTACAGCTGATAAGTCCTGCGGGGTTAACTCGAGTGAAAACGTGTTTTAAATTGACCACCTTTCCAGTCGAACTGACCACTTAAAAATAAAAAAGAAGAAGGGACTTTACAAAACTATATATTCATATGTCCCAAACAGCCAACAACATTTTATAAAAGACCACGATATTGCAAAAAAACAAACTTTCCATATACGCAATAGGACAGAGTGGACATTAACTTTAGAACCTGAGGTGAGAGAAAACAATATTTCACTTCAGTTCATCTCAAAACACACTTAAATTAAAAACATGGAACATAAGATTTTGAAACCTTCATTTGAGGTCAAACCCGAGGACATAGATCATGCCATGGTGGGCCCTTCTTGGGGCAATCGAATAGATTAACTCCTTCCTGTCTCCAACATGGAGGAGGGCTTGTCTGATTTTGACATGCAGCTGTCAGTGTAAGAGTCCCTCATCGCTACATAGAGGCGGGAAAAGGACTTTCTCTGGGTGCTGACGCTCCTGGAGTCACCACCCCACCTCTAATCGAGCTGCGTTGCAGTTGAACGCCTTCAACTGTCATGGCCACCTGGCAAGCAGGAAGCTTTGGTGAGACACAGTAGGCCTGTTTTTTCCAGACTTTGCACTGGAGCTGAGAGGGTCCTGGACTTCCCCCACAGCTCCACTTTCCTGGCCCTTTACCCAGTTCCTGGATTTGGAATCCACGGGGCTGACAAACATCATTTATGGATGAAGCCTTGGCAATCCATCTGGCGCCTAAATCTAAGACTTCTTCCTGCAAGCCCACTCTTCCCAGTAAACAGAGCTGTTTTTTGGCCTCTCTTGTAGAGAAAATGTGTCGAGGCCAAGGTGTCACGCCCTGTGCGGCCATGCTGCAGGCCTACCAGGCAGAGAACCAGCAGGAAGTGTTCCAGGCTAAAGGAAATCCTGATGGACTCTTGGACGACGTCTGGCAGACAGCATCCTTCCCATCTTTTGCCTGTCCATCACTGCCACTGTAACTTAGGAAATAACATAGCAGAGACTGTAGTAGTTCAGCGGTCCCCTCCTTGCTTACTCTGACCAACCTCCCTGAAGCTCAGCACTCAGAGAGTTTTTCCACCTGCCTCTTGATCCTTTGGGATTGTTTGGACAGGCAGTGGAGATGATTCAGACACACTGCACCCAACACAAAAAGCCCATGAAAGCCTTTGTCCACCAGAAGGAGAAATCCCCCTGCTACTGGTCAGTAACTCAGCGCCAGGCCCTGAAGAGAGCATCATCAAACACTGCTTCTCTGCAGTCACTTTCCACTGCTTCAGATCAGCTCTCTTTCTCAGACCAGGCATTCCACCTGGTCTAAACACTTCTTTATTCCTAAACAGGTTGACTCATGCGTTGTGGGGGAGGAAGCAGCCGTCTGCCTTGCTCAGCGATGATACACGCCCATGGCCTCCCCACGCAAAGGACTAAAAGAAGAGCCTCAATCATGCAGTTGGCCCTGATGGCAGAGAGGTTTTGGTTAAACATGCGTGTTTCAGTGTGTGCAATGGGGAAGAAAAGTTCTCCTCACACAGTTTACGCACAGGCACATTCCTCTGCTCACAGTGTTCTGGAGACTTGTTTGTTATTAAAAGACGTTTTTTCCCACTGGAAATCAAGCTTCAAATGTCACAGAAGAAGTCCAACCTCATTCACCAACCGTGCCAGTGGAGGACGTGCAGCCCCAAGAGTAGCAATACAGACTCGCCGACACGCATGCGCACTGTCGCAATGGGTTGTTGTGACGCTTAATTTGTTAGATGTAAATTTGTTCTCCGAATCGTAAATATGTTTTTCGAAATGCAAATGTATTCACGGAATTTCATGTTTCCTGAAATGTACATTTATTTTCCAAAATTCTTTCGCTTGTGTAAAATCAGCTTTTGAAATGGGGATTCCTTGCACACAAGGCCATTTTGTTTTCTGAAATGTTTATTCGTTTGTTTTTTATTAAAGTTTGTTTCGGGGGTTGTAAACGTGTTTTGCACCTTGTTTTTTGTTTTCTGAAATGTAAATTCGTCTGAATCTTTGTAAAAGTTTTTCAGAATTTGTAATATTGGCTTGATATTATTACAATATTTATAGAGTATAAGATTGATAAAATATAAAATCGTTGTTCCAAAAATATGAAACAGAAAGGTACTGTTTTCGGTTCATAACTTGAGGTCACGTGAGTTGTGCGCGCACGCCTCCTTGTTTGATCGTGTCTCAGACTATGCAGATGACGCAGTGAGGTCCAATGAAGATGGCTCCATTTCCAGACGAAGTGGATGTTTTTACTGGCCCACACTGGCGAATGAAGCAGCTGGTGGGCCTGTATTGTGAGAAGGTTCGTACAAATGTGTGTTATTCGTTAGTTTGCCGTTTCTAAGATGAAAGTGTAACGGAATGTGGTCAGACAGGGATTGAACGTCTGTTAGCATCTTAGCTAACTGACATTAGCGTGTGCGTTTAGCATTCAGCATTGAGCCAAAGCAGAAGAATTTTTGAATAATTCTTCAACAAATGCGTCGACGCTTTATGACAGCTCATAGGTAACGTTAACATAGATGGGACAGTCTGTATACATTTTTATAAGCTGCTTTTGACAAAGTTTTACAGCGGTTTACCCTGCTAAGGCGTACCTCCTGTTTGTTAGCCTTAATTGCAAGTCTGTTTGTTATATAACGGGTTGTACGTGCTGCAACGCACCCTCTATTGTTCCACCAAACGGGGCTACACATTATGCTGCTGTGTGGCAGTGTTTCAGTTAAAACTTTATTCTTATAGTACGTGTAAGGGAAGCTCATTTAGGTCGCAAGCTAATGCACTGCTGGCGTGCTAACGTAACCTGCGGCCACTACACTGTGTGCAGCTGTTATGTTGGACATTTTTGTTTTGCCTCTGCTTGCGAAAGCGCCACTTAGTGTGAACCAGTACCACCAGAAGTTCTAGTGTTGGTTTAGAATTAAGCGTTGTTTGGCATTAACCTCATTTTTGTTTACCTCTCCCAACAGCTGTCGAATACCAACTTCTCAAACAACAACGACTTCCGCTCCTTTCTTCAGTCCCTCTGCGCCACCTTCAAGGAGTTCAAGATGCATGAACAGATAGAAAACGAGTACATTATCGGCCTGCTGCAACAACGCTGCTGCACGGTCTACAACGTGCACTCTGACAACAAGCTGTCAGAGATGCTGTCCCTCTTTGAGAAGGGGCTCCACAACGTTAAGGTAAATGCATTCACTGACATTTCTTCTGCTAATCTAAAGTTAGATCATCGAACCTAAATTATACTTGGAGTGCCTTTAGAAATATTTCCAATGGAGAAAAAAAAACGCCTGGCTTGACACAATAGGACATGGTATTACTCAATGTTAGGGTTGCCACTATGTCATTACAGTCACTGTTATGTCAGACACACAAACATTGCAGTGACAGCAACGTCAGCAGAGCAGGTATTTTTGTGTCTACATGTAGTTATAGGGGTTAAAAATGGACAGATATCCTTTAAAAATAAAGTTCAAGCTTCATAGAAACCCATTTCCCATATTCGTTTAAACACTTCTCTTGTCAGATCTGAGTTATATTTGATTAGTTTGATTTTAAGAAAGAAGCCAAATGAAGGCATGTCACAGAAGCGCGGCGAGGAGACGAGGGTTGTTGTTCTCCCTATCTTTCTCAAGCTATTGGCAAACCAAAAAAAAAGGGATTTCCAGAATCAGTCAGTTGTGTAAATCTGAACTTCCGCTCTGCCAGTTTCTAAAATAGAAGCTTTATTTGCTTTGGAGTGAGATCCTGCTTCCTGTCCAAAGGAGAGTGTTTCTGCTCAGCGAAATCATACTGAATGGATTTTTTTGCGGTATCGTATATAAATGTGTGTTTCTGCCTGCTTTCCCATAATATTCAACATTTCAGTGTAAAATGTACTTGCACAACTTGCTTGCTTTCTGTGATTATGCAAAAAGGTAAATATGAGTGTCTGAAATCTTGATTTTCAGTCCATTATTGAGTAAACTGCTGTGCACTTGAGTCTTCAGTTACTTAGAGAGATTAGTGCCTGTAAGAAAAAGGTTAGTTTCAGGCATAGGCTGTGAATTAACAACTGTTCTGTGTCTTTTTTTAGAGTGAGTATGAGCAGCTTAACTATGCCCAGCAGCTAAAGGAGAGACTGGAGGCTTTCACGCAGGACTTTCTGCCCCACATGAAAGAGGAAGAAGAGGTATATGAAACTCATATGGATATTTCTTAATAGAATGTACTTTTCTTTAAGCTTTGATTTTCCCAGTATCCTAGTTATTCCTTTCGGGGATACATAAAGTCACCTCTTTAAGTTGTAATCAAAGAGGGTAAAAGTAAAAAGCTGCATTAATGGAAGTGTATCTGTTATCCCTATGATTTGCTCAGGTGTGGGTCACTTATAAACTGAGGAGATTTGTTTTAGGTGTTTCAGCCTATGCTTATGCAGTACTTCACCTACGAGGAGTTGAAAGACATCAAGAAACAGGTGATAGCGCAGCACTGCAGCCAGCAGCAGCTGGACTGTGCTGCCGAGGTGCTGAAGGGCTTCAGTTTGTGGACCCAGGCAGAGGAGCTGCAAAAAGTCTTTAAATATGCTGACCACGAGAAGACGGATTATGGTAAGTTAGTATATTTACAAATGTTTGCACCCCGATAGATGAGCTAAAGTCTTGCACAGAAAGTTGTCCCTTTTGCATCTGGGTAATTGGCTTTTTTAGTTGTTTTGAATTGATACAAACAGCTCAATGGAATAAGTGTTTGCATTGCAGCTGTTGTCTTTTTTCTTGCAGACATTATTGATAATTGTGTGTTCTGTTCAGGTTCAGCAGGTCTTACCAACACAGAATACTACAATTCTGCTACCAAGGCAAATAAGTGAAATTTAGACAGTCAGATTTATTGTTTATACCTGTCTCTTCTCTGCTAGGAAATGGACACTCCTCATTAAGTCTTTAGTTTCTCACAGTGTTCACATGTTCACGTCCGTAGCTTTATGAAAGGCTACATTGTCCTGGAAAGTGGATGGCCTTTGTAAGAGTTTTTACGTCCCCCCTTTGGTGTTTGAGTCCCCTCACGAGCCCATTTGTTTTGTCTCTTGTCAGAACTGGAAAAGAACAGGAACTCCTCAACCTACATCTCCCAGCTCCCTGCAGAAATCATGTTGAGGCTGTTCCGTTATTTGGGTCCCAGCGACCTGTGTCGCTGTAGTCAGGTGTGCAGTGCGTGGGCAGAGTTGGCCAAGACAGGCTCTCTGTGGAGGCACCTTTATCCTGTGCGCTGGGCCAGAGGTACGTTCCAGCGTCAGTTAGTGGCAGACCGAATAAAAATCTGTTTAGTTTTTCATTTTTTCCCCTTTGCCTGTTTTTCTAATTCCACTAATTAGATAACTATTAAATACATGTAAGTATCCTGTGTGCATTTCTGTTGATATGTGTGTCTTAATTTATAGGTGATTACTACAGTGGTCCCCCTGGGGATCTGGACCAGGAGCCAGATGAAGAGTGGGTGACGAGTCGGCAGAACGAGGGTCGGGCGTATCAGGAGTGGGATGAGGATGCTGATGTTGATGAGTCTGGTGAGGTTTGGTCCTTTGTTAAGTTAATCAAGTTTGTGGTGCATTCTGACACGTGCTGGCCTTTTTTTTTTTTTTAGTCAAAGTTCTGATTGTAAGCTGTGTCCTTTTATTTTGCTGATCGTGTCCTCAGATGTGTCTGGTCACAAAGAAGGCTCTCTAGCGATCAGCACTGCCCAGCAGGAGAAGAAGCTCCTGAATGGGATCATCCAGAACCTTCTTCCAGCTGTGGGGCCGTCTGTCAAGTCCATTATTTTGGCTTACAGTTCTACGGTCTCAAGTAAAATGGTACGCAGTTCAAAACCGTCTAAATGTAGACTGTTTCTCATGTTTGGGAGGATTAAGACTCTATTTGATTTCTCTTCTCAGGTCCGTCAAATTCTCAGCCTCTGCCCCAATATCACTTACCTGGACCTGACTCAGACTGATGTTACAGATTTTGCTTTTGACAGGTACAAATCCTTACACAACCCCCCCTCTCCCAAAAAAAAAAATGGTTCCTGATTGTGGCCTAAAGCTTGTTCTCTGTTCTAGTAAGATTAGAAGTTAATTGGTATGTGCAGAGTGTATGGAAATCTGCCGACTTACCGCCTCATTCCTCCCCTCCCTCCCTCCCTCCCCCAGCTGGCTGTCTCTGGGGGCGTGCCGCTCCCTGGAGCACCTGGATCTGTCCGGCTGCGAGAAGATCACCGACAGCACCCTGAAGAAGCTCTCCTTCGGGCTGGGCGACCTCACGTCCTCCACCTGCTCCGACAAGCGCTCGGACCGGAGGGCCAAGCTGCTGAAGAGCTGCCCGGCGCCCATCGTGCTGAGGGAGGAGCGCAGCCTGCGGGCGGCGGGGCGCCAGCAGCAGGCCTTCATCTTCAAGCCCGGCCGCTGGGGCGCCGTCCCCACGCCCGTGTGGGTCCTGGACACCTCGGACCTCGCCGACATCGAAGACGCCGCCGAGTGGAGCCGGCGGGGCGGGGCGCCGCTGCCCGAGAGCTTTGTGGAGGCGCAGCTGCTGGGGGGCCCGTGCTGCTGCCGCAGGGGCCGGAGGCGGGGGCACAGGACCGGCCCCGACGCCTCCTACCTGCGCCAGACCTACGCCGTGGCGGGGGACGTGCTCTGCGGCCACTCCAGCTGCTGCTCCGCCGACGCGGCCCTACGGACTCTCACGGGCCCACAGAGCGACTCGGGCGCTGCCAGGAGCAGCGCCGCAGATTTAAGGACTCATTGCCCCCCCCTGGGGCGGCTGCAGCACGTGGAGCCCCAAAACAGAACTGACCGCTCGGGGGCAAAGCGCTCCCTGAAATTCCTCAGTCTCTCGGGATGCTACCAAGTCACAGATTTAGGCCTGAGGTAATGACCACGCATCGTTTTCCCTCCAACAAATGAAAAACGTGCTTTTTCCTTCCCCATTTATTTTTTAAAGCACAGTGAGATCTGTTGTTAGCTTAAAACTAATTTGATGCAATGAGATAAATGAGTCATTGGCCAAAAAGTCCACGTTTCTGCCAGATTGCTCTTAAGCAATTTCAGAAGTTTTTATCATGAAGTCATGCTTGCAGAGGCTGTGGGGTAATAACACCTTCTCCCTGCAGCCTCTCAGGCACACCATTGGTCTAGGTCAAGTGGGAATGTTCAGTAAACTGGCTGATTCAAACAGATGCACGGATGCTAGCGTAAATCTGATCATCCGTGAGCGTGGCCTCCCCTTCAGATTTCCACAGCCCTTTATTAGGCTAAGTCTGGATTAACATTGTGCATGTGGACGTCCGTCTGTGGGCCCGCGGTAAAGCTGTGTTGTGTTGTGTACCCCAGGGCCTTGTCTCAGCGGGGCGGGCTTCCTGTGCTGGAGCACCTCAACCTGTCCGGCTGCCTGTTTATCACCGAGGTGGGGCTGCAGGAGCTGGTGTCCGCCTGCCCCTCCCTCAATGACGAACACTTCTATTACTGCGACAACATAAACGGTAACACAAGAGAGCCGGACAGATTTTTCCAGGTTTTCATTTATTTTTTGTCAGATGCACAAAGCTGTGCATGTTAAGAATTGTAGTAATAGTTCTTATAGCATGCTGTTTCCTTTAACAAGCATTACTAACCCCACTCGCATAGCATTTGTTCTAGTGTAAGTAACTAATGCCGCTGCTAAGGAAGGTAAGTGGGAATTACAACAGCCTCCAGTGTCTATCATCAGATCTTTGAAATAATGAGCTGGGTTTAGGTCCGAGCTTAAAATGCTGGGATGTTAAGGGTGGGTTCAAGTGTTGACCGTCCATGGCGTCTCTCCCCAGGTCCCCACGCCGACACAGCCAGCGGCTGCCAGAACCTCCAGTGTGGTTTCAGAGCTTGCTGTCGCTCCGGGGAGTGATCCGGCCCAGCCACGCGCTCCCAAAATTTAGTCACTTCTCCTGATCGTTTGCACTTTAATCCCGGGAATACCATTTGCTGTATTTTGTGTCACTCACAAATGTTCCTCGACGAAACTGTACTTTTGCCCCCTGCTATTTTCCATAAACCTGCGGTGGGAGTAATCTTTTAAAGAAAGGCAAACACAAAGGGGCGATATTGGGTTTACAGTGTCTACAAATGCAGATCCTGGTTTTTTGTGGTGGCTCTGAAAGATTACAAAGCTAGAGAAATGTAAAACCTGTATTTAGGGTTTTCTGTTGTTAAAACTTTTTTTCTGTCACTGAAACCATTGAGATTTCTGCACAAGTCTGCTTCCATATCATTATCAGCTAAAGTAACTGACTATAGAATTGGTGAGTTTTTTTTTTTCCTTTTCCTTTTCTTAATTTAACCTTTGTAGTTCACAGGAGTGGAAAGCGATGCACCCTTAAGATTAAAGATGCCTGAACCCAGATGTTGGCAGCTGTTTGTAGGTGCACCCGGTGATGGTGGCACAGAGAAGATTTAACTGAGAGGGTGTGTGCAGACATTTGACACACCACTAGCAGCTGGTAGGACTGGGGCCGTCCTAACGGAGTGGACGGTTCGATGGTCTGGAACCAAGCCGCATAGACATAGGAAGTGGTACAGGATCAATCCAGTTTAACTGGAAGAGTTTGATTCATATTTGTGATTCTCAGTGACTAGTCCCCTTTTTTTTCATTTTAGCTTTTCCTTATGCACTCCAATTGGAAGGAAAAAAAAAAAGACATGTTCTCATGGTCGAGGAGGAGTCAAAGGCCGGGTGGAGATCCCTACTGTTTACGTTACTGCTTTGTTTATTATGCTGCAGCAGGATTTATTTTCTGGTTCTAAAAGTCTTGCATGAGCCCTACTTGAAATGTTCATTTCATAACAATAAAAGTAAAGCGTTGGACGTTTCTGTTGGTCGAGCTTTATATTCTCATCGAGACATTTCAATTAAAACCATTGAGGTATGAAAAAAGTACATTTTAGTATATATAAAGTCTTGTGTTTGAATATCTGTTCATGCATTCATAATTAAGACTTAATACAGTAAAATACAAAACAAGGAATGTAATGTACAGATATTAAACCTTTCATACCTTATTTACATATCAGACTTGTGTAATATAATTTATCATTAAAGGCAGAAAAGCTTGCCAATACTTTGGGGATCTCTTGTGTCAGGTGCGGACGAGTGAGGCCAGGTACACCCACACAGACAGGACGTTGCTGGGGTACGGGTGCACGTACACAGCCAGGGCAAACTCCACATTGGAGGCCTCGATTTTGTGAACTCCAGTGCTGTACACCGCCTCTATGATGGGCCGGATCTCAGAGAAAGGCAGGTGCAGGGGGAATCCGGAAATCTGAAAAAACAAACCAAAGAAACAAACGGGTTAGGGGTCATTTTTGGCAATCCTGGTGTGGGGGTTGTGCCGCTGGGTTTTTTAGTTTTCAGACTTAACCCTGTAGTCTCCCAACAGGCTCTGCAGCTCATGGCGATGCCCCTCGGCCACGTCCTGCCCGCCTCCCTGCTCCAGTTTGGGCAGGAACTGCTTTAGGGTGGTGTTACAGTAGCGGTTCCAGCGGGTGGGTTGGCGGGGACGCCACTCCATGATCTTCTCCTTTAGAATCTTCTCGATCCTGTACGTAATGAGGGGGTAAACATGTTTTTTTTCAACTGGGAGGCGTGGACAGTGTGACATTAGATCTGCTGTGACTCACCTGTCCTGAAGCTCAGCAGCAGCTGCTCTGTCTGTACGGCGGTACGCCAGCTCATCGGGCTAAAAAAAACGTTCAAATGGTGGAAAAACTGTATCTACGCTTGAAGCAGTTTTTTTTTTTTTTTAACAAGTACTGATGGCTCACCTGTACACTGGACAAACCGGGGTGGGAGAAGGACCGGGAGAAAAATGGCCTCCAGAAATTGCCCTTGGTGGTGTCAAAACTAATCCTCATTGGTGACGTGTATTCTTGAATGTTGAACCAAACCTAAGCAAAAAACAGTCGCAAAAAAAGTACCCAGTGTGTAGCATTTAAAACAAAGATGGATATAATGTTGCTTGGCTGCATCAGCTTTACTCACATTGTCAGCGTTGATCAAACAGCCAACTGTCTGCAGTGGGCAGAAAGTGTCATATTGGCCATAAAACTGACCGTTACTGGGATTCCAAATAAGGTAGCGGCTCTGCTCTAGTGTTAGAACATAAGCCGTGGGGCCCTAAGAAAAAAAAAAAACAATACATTTCGAACTACACACTCCGCCTTCAAACATCTGAGCTAACAATAGATCTAACAAGCAAATGTCTGACCTCTGGTATGGCCGTGCCAATAACTAGCCAGGCTTTCTTGCCCAAAGACAGAAAGTAGTTGCACAAGAGCACAGCGTGTTCCTCCTCATCTCCTGCTAGCAGCGTGAGAAATTGCTAAAAACAAGAAGAGAACAACAAGGTAGTGGCAAGAAAAGAAAAAAAAATGGTGCTTCTTTGAGCTCAGGGAGAGGCCGTGCTTACGTCACAGGTGCTCCACAGGCCACAGGCCCGGGAAAATAAAACTTGATCGGGCAGGGACGGGATGAGGGAGACGAATCGGGCAACCAGGGTCTGTATGCGGACAGGATGAGTTTAAATGACCCGCTTTATGAGTTTTTAAGTGGAAATACACGCGGGTTTTTGCACTGACCGTGGCTTCCAGGGGGTTATTGGGGAACGCATCCAGGAACTCCTGCGGTGGGCCGAGTGGCCGGATGTAGCGGGTGATGAAGACCGTCTTCCCGTTGAGGTCCGTTACCGTGGTGATGCAGGGTCGGTCGGGGTAGCCCAGCGCTGCGTGCCTCTCGAATCTCTCTGAGGCCTGCAGCAGACGCTCGTCCTCCTGGCTGTCGAACTGCGTCACAGGATCGGACGTTAAAGGCGGAGGAACACGGGGAAACAAAAAAAAAAAAAAAAAAGATGTGCTGAATGACTGAATAGCACAGGGTGAGAGTTTTGAATGGTCCATTACCTTCACTTCCTTTATCTAGAGCATGCAGCAGAGCAAAAGCCAAGACATGATACAAGAGGATGACAGGATCAAATTAATGGACTGACACTTTCACAAGAAACACTTTAAAAAAAAAGAACACATTTTAAATAAATCACACAAACGACAGAAAAACACCAATAAATTGGGGAAAAATATCAGCGCAGAGACGCGGCATGAGGGCAAAAAACACACTTAGAAAATACTTCACCTTCTCCCTGACGGACTCTCCGGGCACCAGCTGAGGTTCGATGGTGATGAAGAGTGTGATGAAGGCTCCCTCGCTCAGGGGCCGCAGCATCTCGTAGGCGCCGTTATTGCCATGGCTGCGCTCCTTGCTGTATCCCAGCAACACGGCCGGCGTGTTGACCTTAAATGTTCCATCAATCTGTTGGGGTGGGGGGGGCAGAGAGGGACTTTAGCGGCACATTCAGTCACACACACACACACAGTCACACACACAGAAAAACCTCACCCTGGACTGAGAGTAAATAGTGCTGAAGGGAATTTTCACCGAGCCCAGCCAGTGCTTCTCTATCTGCGTGTGAATGGAGGACCTCCTCTCTTTGTCCGTCTGTGGAGAAAAGTTACAAATAATGCAGATTGAGGAGCGGGGTATGAAAAAAATAAACAGAAAAAAACCAAAAAGGGGGTACGATGAGTCCTCACCAGCCCTGTTTCGTAAACCACCTCGTCAAAGATGTTGATGAAGACCTCGTCTCTGACCGACTGCAGAGAGGCCGTGCTGTAGTCTCCGTTTGGAGCGCTGTGAAGGAGCCAATAGCAGCAGTGAGTCTGACCACTATCCGCCGCATGAGCTAGTCGATTTGATCAGGAATTTATCTTCCCATCTCAAAACTGGACGTCATGAGCGCGTATTGAAATGACCTAATTCACCTGAACGGTAACTGCAGCTCCTCGTTCCAGCTGGGATTGGGTCCCTCGGCCGTGGTGGTCTGCAGCACCGTGCGCTGGAAGGAAACCTCCACGAACGGCCTCACCTGCACCTGGGAAAGGGAGAGAGGTCGGCATGGGTCACCTGGACCCTTACTGGCGGCGGTTTTTAGGAGGAGGCTGTGGGTTCTGTACCTGGCTGAGGTACCAGTCACTGTCCTGGACGGCGCTCTGAGAGGACTGTCCCGCTTTACTGAAACGAGAACCTCCTTTGTTAAAGGTTTCCGGTCTCTGTTTTTTTGTCATTATTATCCTCGTGGTGGTTCTCACCTGCTCTGGGGCCTGCGGACGGGAATGTCGTAGGCCCGGATGATGTTGATAAGCAGCTTGATGTCTCCGTCCGACAGATTCTGAGCCGTCACCTTCTTTCTCTCCTTCCTCTGAGGTTTCAGCGGTCGCTTGGGTTCGGCCAGCTTAAAAAGGTTGATCCCTAGAATCCTGAAGGCAGCGGACATGTCTTAATGAGGGCAATCCCCACAGTCATTTTTAAAGACACAATCAGGAGACTACACATTCAATTAGAACTTATTTTTAACAAATTAGTTATTCCTAAAAAACTATTCCACTGGAATCATTGACCACAGACAGAACTCTTCCAGGTTTTTGTTATCTACAGTCACAGCCTAAAAATGTCTTATCTGTAGCTGAGGTTAGTTATTAAAACGCAGGTAAGAGAAACACAAACCAGTTCTTCATCATAAGGAATAAATGAAGATTGGATTACTTTATCCGGAGTTAGCAGCCAAGACAAAAAATGTGATTGTCACTATTTTCATTTGAAAAAAATTGGGACACTGCATAAACTGTAACTGCTTCTTCAAATGTACCTATTCGCCAATTAAATCTACTTCTGAGAGAGTCTGACTCTCTAAGGTGCTCTCTTCCGGTCTGATTTGTGACAAGCTACTATTTAAAAAGCAACTAAAATGTCTCACTTTCCAAAAACAATCTTGAAGACTAAATAAATTACTGCACTATAAAGCTACATTTACGCAGCGTCTCAATTTTTTTGTTGAGCTGAGCTTGGAAAATATGGGGAAAAAATCCCTTTAAACCAAATTGGCTATGTGTAAAAAAAAACAAAAAAACTTTTACTCTTCTAATACTACAAATAAAATGTTTAAAGGTGACATATTTGACTCTACTGGGGTTGACAAAACAGAAGGTGGGAAAAGAAGAGAAATGAATCTCCGAAAACATACCCTGAACCTGCACCACTGTAAAAACAAATGTGCATCAGGGGAAACATGAAAAAGACAGAGGAAAACATTTAATCTGGGCAATAGAAACACGTGACGGGTAACACCCAAAATGCAGCACGGGCCCCGGTGTGCTATGGCTATCTATCAATCTGCCCAGACCGGCGCAGTCCTTCAGATTTGTCATTTTCTCGGACAGGTCCTCCTGCTACCAATCTCGGCTTGATTCCAGAGGAGAGAGTGTGCAGTGTCAAATGGGCCCGAAGCAGCATCGGGCCCAGAGACGTACTTACATCAGCCTGTGAATTCTGCTGGCCCTGCCACTCTGTCTGATGAGCCGATAAAGCTGCCGAAACCACTGCTCATGGTAATCCAAGCTATCTAACCTTTCCTGTTCAAGTGGAGCTGCCAGTCGGGGCTCTCTTTGTAATAGGAATAAGCCAGGGGTTATACATGAGTTATCAACGACAGTAAAGGAGAGCAGCAGTGGATGTGTTAGCGTTGTTGTGCCAGCGGGAAAGAACAGAACTCACTCTAACATGAAGCATGCAACACAGAAAAGAGTCTAAAGTGTTCGATGGGGAGGTTACACAGACTTATCAGTCAGTTTGTGATGTTGCATTTACCCAATGCTCGGTATCTCTTCCTCCACCACCAAGTCAGACAGGACGTAGTCATGTTTGGCCAGAAGGAATCTGTTAATGACCGATTCTCGGATCTGTGGGGAAAGAAAACATCACGGTGACGCTATGGTGTGGTCAGAGCTGGAGTAAAAACTCAGAAAAATGAGGGGTGTCCGCTCACCTTCTGAAGGTATTTGGCCACTAAAGCTCTGTGTGAATCCAAGTGGTCTTTGGTGTCGATTATTTCCCCATCTTTCAACCGTTTCTCGTATTCCTAATAATAGGAGGGAAAAATGATTACAAGAGAAGTAATTTCTTTCTATTCCTTTATAAGCATAGGTTTAAAAAAAAAATAAAAAAAAATGAACATCTAAGAAGGCCTGACCTGGAACACCTTATCTGGGACCTCCCTTTCAATGGCAGGCACAAATTTGTGATTGCGGAACTCTGCAACTTCCTGCTTCCTGAGCGTGAGCAGGCGGAATCTTTTGGATCTGTCCAACTCTTCATCGGGGACAAAATTGAACTCCTCCTGAAGGTGTTCGAGTCGGAAGTAATCCGGAGCAATGACCTCTCCGCTGCTGGCCACCTGCACAACACCACCAACATTTTATTCACCCGTCTTTATAAACAATTCTAGGTGAATATTCGAAAAGAAAAAAAAAAGAATGACTCACTTTGAGCAGCTGCATGATGGCGATATTTTTCGGATCATTGGGGTCCAGGCGGGACTGTGTGGCCCACTCACCGATTTTTTTCATGTCGTACAGCCCAGATGCTCCGATGTATGTGACGGCATCCAGACGGCTCATGCCACTAAAAACAGAGACACGCGGGGATTAATGTTCATGGTGGATTAGTGCATCTTTAAAAGGTGTATTTTGCTGTCTTCAGAAACCATTACCACAAGGGGGCAGAGGTTTACTTATGGACGTGTATGTTTCCCCCCCCTACGATTCCAGATCTGTTCATTCATTTTGAAGTCTGTAAATTACAGTGTGTGCTGGTCGTGACAGCACAGTTACTCTTTTACCTGCACAGTTTATTATACAGAATGCCTTTTTTTTTCAGGAGACATCTCAGTTGTATATTTTTGCTGCACAGAGGACACGTGCTTTTCTATATGAGGTTAGTTACTGGGTTTTCAGGTTTAACAAGGACCCTTAGGTAATATAAGCAGACTTATAAAAAAACACTACTGGTTGTATTCCACTGTAAACCCCCAGCTCTGTTCTAAGAGAGACACTACCTGTGCTTTCCTCCCGAATGTTGGGAAACAGGAGGCGCGAGTGGAACGTCGTCCTCCCCGATTCCCCAAGACACACAGCACGACAGCTTTCCAGAGGTCAGCAGGATCACTTTGTTGCTGCCGTCCGCCTCGAAGGAGAGGGGCACGTCTGACAAGAAGTACAGAGCACCGGCAAGTAAGCGTGCAGGGCAAATGAGATCTGTCTGTGGTCGGTGGCTTTTGGGGGCGCGGGTGAAGACATTTACCGCTTCCAACTCCCTCGTGGTCAAACATCACTCTCTGGTTGCTGCTGAACTCAAACTCTTCCAGAGGGACGCTGCCGCTCACGACTGAGGGCTCTGGCACTGGAACAAACACCTGAGCCAGGAGGGTGCACGACAGTCCAACCTCCTCAAACACCTACCCATGCACACAAGCAGAGGCGGAGACAAATAGAAGACCATAAAAAGACTATAGCATTCTCTTTGGACTATAATACATATGCACACATGTATATGTGTATAAAAAAAAAAACTAGACTTTCAGCTAGTCTTCACTCTACCTGCAGATTAATACTTTGGGGACAGTTAAGTATCTTGAGGTTGAAAATTTGACCAAAGTGCACCCTGAAGTCAGCACTCAGGGACACGCTGTCTGTTCGGGACACCTCCTTGTCGTTGTACAGGATTTTGATAAAAAGGGAGCGCCTGGAAACATCCTCTCTTCGGGCGATTTCAGTCCTAAAATGGTGAAAAGAAATGTAGAAAACACTGCCTATGATATCTCTTAAGGTAAAATAGTTTGGAATTGAATGGAACTCATCTGGAATAGATGTAAAATCCAAACCTGGGGCAGAGTTCACTGGCAGTGATGTTTCCCGATGCAGAGAGTTCAGGGATCAGGATGGCCTCTCCTGGTTTCTTTCGTATCTTGGAGGCTTTCTCTCTCACCTGCTGCTCTATGGATTCCAAGTCTGGCCTCTCGGGAGGCTTCGGTTTGGGAGGGCCTTCCTCCAAAGGGCCCTCTGATTCACTCCCCTCCTGTTCTTCATCCTCTTCTTCCGTGTCATCCTGTGCCTGGCCCTTTTTCTTCTTCTTCTTCTGTTTTTTCCGTTTAGTTTTCTGAAAACATTGGGCATATGATTCTGTAACAAGTGATGTTCCACCCCTCAATTTATTTGATACATTTTGCTTTCAAAGGCCTATTATCTCTTACTCTTTTGACATGGACGTGAGCAAAAGTTTTTCATGCTTTCTGAAAGTCTTTCAAAGGTTTTATTTGGACAGCGGCTCGTTTTTCCATTCAGTTTTGGTCAAACCTTTGAACATGACCATTATCTTGAGTTATTTAGTTTCAGCCAGTTAAACACTCAGCTATCAATAATTTCAGCATTAAAAAAAGACACCAAATCAAACAGATGAAGCGGCATTGTGTCTGTGCATATCATTCAACTTCTCAGACCATTTTTAACTATTTTTTTCCTTCTTCTGCAAAGTCATATATTATATTTTGATGTTCCTTTTATTTTAGCTACACCAGTAAAAAAAAAAAAAAAAAAAAAAGAAGGTCAAAGACAACATGGTCTGACGGGCGTGAAATGGTATTTTTTGCTCCATCAATTTGATTCCAAAAGAGCTATTAGCTAGAAAAAATGGATTGTCCCCAGAGGCCAGACCTCAGCATTTGTAGTGTGTTGAAACTTCAAGATCTATCTGTCCATTAACCCATTTTTTCCTGCTCCAGCTCCTTTTGGGAGAGGAGGCCTGAGACACTCCCAGGCCAGACGGGAAACATAATCTCCCCATCTAGCTCTAGGTGTGCTCTGAGGTCTACCATTAGGATATGCCTGGAAAATGCCTCCATAGAGAGGAGACCAGGAGGCATCCTAACCAGATGTCTGAACTAGCTCAGGTCACCACTGTCAATGCGGGGCAGAATGCTCTACCAGCTCCCTAACGATGGCGGAGCACCTGACCTATTTCTAAGGCTGAGCCCAGCCTCTCGCTGAAGGAAATTTATTTAAACCGCTTGTACCAGAGATGTCCTCCTTTTGGTCACAGCCCAGATCTCATGACCGCTAGTGAGAGTTGGGGAAAAAGACCAAAAGACCAAAGGTAGAAATGACAAAAAAACAGTTTGTTTAAGACAGTTCCAGCCCAGTTGAAGAATAAATGTAGTTGTCCAAACGACTGAATCTCAAGCTTTGTTGACTTAGCTGAGCAGTGGCTGACAGGCACCTGTTTCTTTCTCCAGAGTTTCCACTCCTCCAGCTGTTTCTTGTACACAGCCAGCTTCTTCTGGTAGTCCTCCTCGGTCTCTGCCTCCAATTCCAAAACTTCTGACAAGATTTCGTCTTCATACTGCTGCTCATCCGCTGCCCGGTCGACGTTCTCCCTGAAGCAACGATAAAAAATAAAAATAAAATAAGGACAACAACAGCTTTTTTTCTGGAAGCATTTTGATAAAAACAAACTGATGCAAACTCTTAGTCGGTTTAGTGTTTACCTTCTGAGGTAGAGTTTATAAGGGGTGTTGGTGAACTTCTGAAAGTCTCTTAGGGCCTTCATCTCCTTCCACACTTTGATCATGTTCTTCAGCAGAGTCCTGTCTTTCTCCTGCTCTGTGTCTCGGAGTTGACGGGTGCTCCTATGATGTGCAGGTATAAAGTTCACTTTTTTTGGCTCCTCTTCTCCAGACTGAGCAGGACGTGACAGGGAGACCTCACCTCACTTCCAGACTGTACTCAGACATCCTGTGGTGCATGGCCTGAGTGATGCTCTGTCCATCGTGGATCCTCATGATATTCCGCAGCGCGCTCCTCAAGCCGTTCAGCTGAAGCAGACGGGAAGACAGGCAAAAATGTGTACAAGAACAATAAATAAAAGGACTCTGACTATTCTTTATGAAACCTGAGGAAGTGGAAAGGCAAATTCAGGTCGAGGCACGATGGCTTTAAATCAAGCAGACACTGGTCCAAGGGACCTTTACCTTGTCAGTGAGGTGTCCCGTGAGATTGTTGTGCTGCCTGGTGAGGTACTGATCATACAGCTGAGCTAGACGGGCTGCCAGGACATGTTCACGGCTAAAGAGTGGGTGGTGGGAAAAGATAAGCCCAGAGACATCCACATCTAGCTGGTAGTCTCCCTCAGGGCCTGCCGCACCACCGATATACAGATTTGCATACTTGGATTTCAGCGCCTGTTGGACAGAATCGCATCATCCATTATACACTGTCCTGGAAGGCCATTATCACCACCAAACACACTTGCCGTGTTTGCCAGTGCTGCATGTGTGTGTGTATGTGAGCAGCAAGATGTTATTAAATAGCACGGTAATGAAAAGTCATGCGTGACAGTAACATATTATTTACACCCAACTACACTACAACTGGTGTTCTGTTCTCTAAATGCTCACAGATGACAGCTGTCTCATTGTAAAATAAAAAAAATAAACTGCAAGGGCATATGTGATGAATAAGTGTTAATAATATAAGCTCTGAGTTCTCATTCTCTCATTTCTGGGCGGCATGGCCCTTATCTCTTTTGCCAAATTTTCTCTTTCTTCACTGCTGCAAATAAATAGATAGAAGTGTTCCTAAAATTAAATAGACATACAAGGAACTCATCAGCTGGCAATATCCATTAAATTCATGAATACTATTTTGAAGCATCTGTTAAAAACTATATCTGAAGATGGCTTAAGAGATAATGAAGGTTGTCAAAACAGTCAGAAGAAAAGGTAAAACCTTACTTTTTACTGATCTGGTTAGGACACCAACCATTTTCAATGAGTTAAAGACATGGTGGCTGGAAATTATGTTACTTTAAAGACCTGAAGTTTAAGTTACCGTAACCATCGTTTTTTTTTTTTTTGACCAGTGCAAATTCTATGTTAATCTAAGTCCTTCCTCAAGAACACACTCTCAATTTGGGCTCATAGTCAGATGAATAAATATCACAGATGTGTTGGCCTCCATCCTGCTTAGTTCTGTGGGAACAAACACCCACACCCTGTCAGACCAGATGCCAAGCAGCTTTTTGTCATTCTCCTAAAGGTCTAGGTTTGGAGAGAACTCTAATTTGAGGATGCGGTGTCACTTTTGGCACATAATGTGGGTAAATGGGTAGAATATGCTAAGTGAGAGCCACAGTGCGTCTGACCTTTCTGTACACAGTCTGGAGGGCAGGATCTAGGTCCCCCTCCATATGGAATAGAGGGGGTCTTATGGATGATTCCTTTATGGGGTCAGGCAGAGCTATAATCCTGCCATCATCTCCAAACCATTTCCTTCCCTTATCAAATTAAAACAGAAAAGAAAACACATGTGTGAAAACAACATGAGGGGTCTATCTGTGTTATTTTAGTAGGTTAGCTGATGATACCTCCTCCATTTTCAAAATGCGATTCTCAAGAATGGTCTCATTGGTCTGAGATACAGGGGGCCGCTCCCCTACATAGAGACCTTCATCCTCCAGATATCGAGGTTTCATGTTTTCAGGCAGTTTAGCAGAGGTTGGAACTGTAAAAGAAATGTGCATATTTCTAGCTAATGACACATTCAAAAGCCAAGAGACGCAATACTCCAGGGGAGCATCTGATACCTGGTCGAAAACTCGGTGTAAAAAGGAGTTCGTTGTCATGTTGAATGCGTTTTCGGTACCCCACATACTCAGCCTTCCTCACTTCCAGGAAGTCTTGGGGTGACTGGTCAATGATAAATAAATCTTCCTCATTTCGTACCAAAGGAGCCTCTTCCCCCTAAATCAGAGTGATAAACAAGAGGCAGTCATCAGCTATTATCCAACAACATCAACATACGTAGAAATAATCGTCCACAGACGAGGCTACTCCTATTCTACCTGGTTTTCATTTTCATCCGGAATATCTTCTTCCGCTTCAGCATCTTCTGGCTCTTCAGCTTCCTCTCCTCCATCGTCATCTCCATCTCTCCGTTTCTGCTTTTTCCTGCTAAGCCTCTCCGAAGTGCCCGCAGGTTCTGGCTCAAAGGTAAATGTGAAGAAATTGTATGCCTCTTCGGCAGTGGGGATGCCTTTGGACACCTATATTTTTACAATAACAAACAAATTAATTCAACACGACAACCACAATTTGCATAAGAAGAATTTCAGTTTGCGTGTAAGCCTTACTCTTCTTGCTGCCTCTCGGAACTTGACCCTTGAGTTTAGGACGGGAGAGGCATCATGTCTCCCTGCTCTGTCTGGCTCAACCTGTGAAACATTGGGAACAACTTTTCTGTGCTGGATTGCATGTGTGCAATGGCAGTTTGACTCAGGACGTTGCTCACCTCTCTGTCAAACCGTGTTACAGTGTCTCTGTCTCTGAGGCTTTGGAGGCGACTGACTGGCTCTGCAGAGGCTTCCTGCTGATGAATACTCTCAGCTTTTGACTGGAAAACAAGATTTGCAAACGTACTTTTCCCCTCTTTTTGTGAGTCACAAAATATATCAAAATATTGCGTCACACAAATAGAGAAATTAATGTATGTGAAATCAAGACGAGGTGTGTCTGAAATAAAGACAATAATTTACCCTGGCGGCTCTCAGCTTCCCTTCCAAGTGTTGTGTCACAGAAGTGTCTAAATTTTGAGACGTGGAAGCAAGCTGAGTTCTGAAGGAGAGACCTGAAAACCAAAGCACATTTAAACAAAGCTACTTTTACCCCCTCAGTCCTACCACTTTGAGGAGCTGCATTTTAGGGCACTGAGTCAACACATTACAGGTCTTAAGGGTTTTGGGCATTTAATAAATAAAGAAATAAGTCAGCAGAACAGAGACGCTGTAGTCTGGTCGATAATTAGTTGAAGCAGACGTGGAGATGCATTTATATGACTTTTGTAAACCAGGACAGAGCTACAAACCTCTTTGAGATCCAGTTGGAGGTCTTGACAAAACGACGGAGTCATCCTGCCCCACAGCGGATCCCTCACTGGCACTGTGTTGCTGCACCGTGGAAACTTCCTCCACATCTTCATTGTCCTGGGACTCCTGGGCTGAGGACCGCTCGAGCAGCTAATAAACAAAGCCAGTTGTGTTAGACTCGATTAATGTAAAACCCACTACATTAAAGAAGGAGAACCAAGAAGGATCCCACTTCTAACAATGTACCCTTTTCCTTCGCCTCTGTCTCTGAGCCCTTAAGGTGCGTTTTAGAGACTCTCCCGGGTCTTCCTCACTGTCTTCTGGTTCCTGATGTAGGACAGGGAAACAATTGAGATTAGACAGCCACTGCAAAGATACATCCATAACGATGCTAAGCGCACAGAAGTTGAGGAGGGATGCGGAGATCAGTTTAATGTTAGAAGCCAGAAGAACACAGAGGAAAGCATCTACATCCAACAGGCTAAGCTACAATACACACACACCAACCTTCATTGTAGCTTGTCGCCTCCCCACACTCAACTTCTCAGACGGTACCAGAACCTATCAGGTATGGTTAGCGTTATAGTTAGATTTACCAAAGATTTACCAAAGCGTTAGCAGCTCTTCCACCCAGATTATAAAACGAGCTTGACGCTGAACACATTATGTTGAGCCTGAACTGTAAAGAACCGAGCCTTGTCTCTTTGCTCTGGGAAGGCTAAAAAAGGCTACAAGCTGTCAAAATGTTACACTTTTTGTAATTTTTAGGGGTTGCGGGGCTTAAAAAATATATTTTACTTTACCTGGACATCGTCTTCATCTTTGTTTTTCACCAAAGTTTCTTGCAAAGCGCGTCGTTTCTTTTGAAGTTTCTCTCTAATGTCACTTAAACAGAAATATAATAACTTTTAAAAAGGCAAAAACAGTAGCTGTGTATCTTACACGCGTAGATTTAATTTACATCCTTAACGTATCATTACCTCGAGGAAGCCAGTGTGCCAGTATTTTCATCCCACGATGTATTCGAAGGTAGCGAACTCTGATAGCGCTGCCTAGTAACGACATAAACTACCCCTCAACCTAACATGACAGAGAGCCTAAACACAGATTAACCCGCCCAAACCCACTAATACATTGAGATTCCCATTGGTCAAAAGGCTCCAAATTGAAAGGTTTACCTAGAAGGGAATCCGCCCACTACGGTGTCCGAGAAACCCCTACTTCGCATTTACGCTGACAAGATAACACACACAGTACAGTATGTTTAACGGTAAAACGTTTAATTAAAGACAGATCTAATTTGACTAAAATAAATAAATACAATACATTTAAAATTTCTAAATGAATACATACAAATCTAAAGATCATTATATAAACGAGGTCATTTGTACTGACTTGAATTAATACCAAAAGCAGAGTTTGAAATATCAATTTATTATTGACATTACACCTTAATTGTGATATAATTTAATTCATTTTATGATTTTTTTTTTTATCACTTATGTATGGTGTTAAGATTGGAATATTTTTGTGTTGGCTTTTCTTTCCATTGGAAATTGCAAAAAATGTTTACATCACATAGCAAAATCCTAAAATATCACCGCAACACTGTCTCAGGGTCATCTGCAGCCATAGTAAATCATTTCTCACTCAGAATATTTCAACGTCAAGCCATTTAAAAATCGGATGATTTTCAGTAAATGTATTAAAGCTTATTTGTCTTCAATTTTAATCGATAAATGCAGACAGTGGACATTTAAAGAAGCTATAGTATATTGCTTATTGTACAACCTATGTTCACATTCAAGGCTATGCCTATTATTTGAAAATGGTGTGGTGCATATATTACATTCTGCCAGTATTGTTATCAAACCTCACCAAAATGTTATATTACACAGTCAAAACCAGGAGAACTGAAGGATTTTAGCTCTGTTGAATAAAGGTTGTTACCACTGAATCAGTTTCTGAAAGAGAGGACACTATGACAAACCTGATTATGAATGTGAAATTGTGTAAAAAAATCTCTGAAGAAATTTCCCCCTGCCAAGGATATTTATCTAAGATTTTATGAACATGACTGTATCCAAAATAAACCATAAACCTATTAAAGGTTAATATTATAATTTTAAATGAATAAAAAAAGAAAAAAGTAACAGGGCAAGAAATTATAAAAATATACTGAGACTTTATGTGTTATAAAACAATTAAATCAGCTGTGACTAGTAGCTTCTGTTTCTTTTTTTGTGTGTTTCAAGGTTCTATGCGTAGTCTTCTGCCAGTGTATCAAAATAGTTGGTATCTGCATAGAGCAGGAAGCCAGAGAACAGGCTGTCAGCCCAGCCAGGGTCAGCGAATAAACCGTTCTGGTCATGGAAGAAGATCTCCATCCAAACTTCATCTTCTGGGTTCAGGTACATGACGGTGGACCCAGAAGCCACATCGTGGTTTCCAGTGTTGGCGTCGAAGGTTTTTATGCGATACTGGCCATTCTGCACCAGACCGATGGCCAGATGTTTGTTGGCCAGGGTGATGTCGTAGGAGAAGTAATAGATGCCGGGGTAGGCACAGACGAACTTTCCCGTCTGTGGGTTGTAGTGCCCGCCTTCATTGAACAGGACTTTGTTGAACTTGATGGGAATCTTTTCCGTAGGGTAGCTGCTGGTGATCCCCACTGAGAAAGCCGATTTAAGCTGCAGGCTACCGCATTTGCAGGTTCCAGGTGTTCCGCGGAGTCCGCGTTTGCCCTTGTCCCCCTTTTGTCCGTCTCGGCCCGGAGGACCAGGTGCTCCCACGTCTCCGTTCCCTCCCGTTGGGCCTCGTTTCCCAGCAGGGCCGCGCTCACCTCGCTCTCCGATCTTGCCTGTTGGGCCCACTCTGCCCTTTAGACCTAAAGCAGAAACATCAGACCATCAAATCATCAATCCATTTTTTTTTTCATCAGCTACCGTTTAAAATGATAATTTTTAGTTTGCTTCTTTCACTTGTTAAGGCACACTGTGGAATCAACTGAAACTTAACGCCACTCCCGGTCCTCACGCATTAGGTCACCATTGGAACTCAGCCGTCTCTGCACCAGAGCTGAATCAACATAAATTCTTCCAAGCCATCTTACATCCACTTATCAACATCCACACATATGTCCCCCGGAGCAAGGAAACCGTGCATGTTTGTGCAGGCTCCGTTAGCCTGTAGGTCTGCAGGAATGACTGGTCATGCACGTAATGGAAAACTTGTGCGTGTGATGTTGATTTATGCCTGACAGATTGAACGTGGTAAAGACTTCATATTTGATAATGATGGGATTTTCCTGTCTGTAACACTTACCATTTGTGCAGTCTAAAGAATGGAGGAGATTATCTGTGGCACGGTAATATCAGGAAAGGAAAGAGCATATCATCTTGCAGAATCTAACCTCGTTTAATGTGAAGCTCGTCATGTGTAACTCGAGAAACAGCAAAGCCCTGCGGATGTAACAATGTTGAACAATTTGATATAGTTGACTGGCCGCTCTTCTCAAGATGGGAAGTAAGAAAAGAACGTCCGTGCCTCACAGCTGGTCATTCAGTATTTATTTAGTGTTTTACTCTGTAATGCAAAAGGCAGGCCTGCAAAGATATCGACTATAAAAAGGGAGGCTCAAAAGAACGAAATAGGTTATAATTGTATACAATATTTGAATAGATCACAAATCAAATAAGTTTATTGATACAATGCTGAAGTTTGATTTCTCTGGGTTAAATTGACTAGTCGATTAACAGATTAAATTGTATGGAGCTGCAATTTACTATGTGACACTCTCTCTCATGACATTGCTAGAATACTCCAATCACTTTATCTTTTCCTAAAGAATCTTGAAATGCGCATGGGTTCCAACCTTCGGGCATTCTTTTATATGGTTCCATTTGAGGTTTTCCACAAGAATGCCCGACTTTATGAATTGCAAAGAAATATTCTTTCTCGTGCTGATAATTCATTCGTGTTTCTTTGAACATGCATCAATGGTCAAATGAGATTACAAAGTGGAACTTGCCGTTAGCTAGTTGGAACATAATTTGAAGTTAGGTGTGGGGACTGGCTTTAAGGACTTTCAGTTGCTTGTTATTAAGAGTTAAAGGTAACACTTAAATAGTGTATTCGGTCATGTTCTTCTTAGGGAGTTGTAGGCCCGAAGCTTTTGATATTAATCTTTGAGCCTGTAGAAGATGCAAATTCGAACAAGTCGTACAATGTTTTTCATATTTCATGACTGAATTCCTTAATAGGGTACGTGAGTAGGACAGGGTATGTGTTCATCTCCTCTTTGCTCCAACTGATGCCAGCTGTCCGATAAGAAAATCATTCTGTGCCAGGTTTTATCTTCTCGAACAGATTGGTTGTGTGTTGGTTGTGTTTTTTTTTTTTAAATCAGCACATATCAACTATCTGTTTATGTTTTATATTATACCTGTGTCTCCCTTTTCTCCCATTTCCCCCTTCCTGCCATCTCTGCCATCTCTTCCTGGGATACCCACATTCCCGTCTGCTCCCGGCTGACCACTGGGACCTGGTTTTCCGGGCGCGCCCGGGGACCCGGGGACGCTGCAGATGAGGCGAGGCGTCCCTTTGAGCTTGGTCTCAAGCAGCTGTCCACAGACGCAGTGGCAAAGACAGATCGCTCCCATCAACGCCCACATCCTCAAACCTGTGGAAGAAGTCTGGCTTTAGAGAGCACGTCATGTTATATGTTGAGTTTCATGTTAGCTGTAAAGCCTATGGGCGTTTTTCAGATGTTGTGTCATGTTTGACAGGACAAAGTAGCCATGGCGGCCTCCTCATCCTTGCACACCAAGATGAAACAGCCACAGAACTAAAGAGCGTGTCAGTGAATCTCAGTTGTTATCAAAATCAGCATGAGGCCAGATGTGATTTCCTATTTTGGAGTCTTCGGTTCTTGACCTGCTCAGCCACAGAATTACACGAGAGGGACCTCATTTCTCTTCCTCGTCTCAGCTCCAAGTAATCTTTGTGCCAAAGCATTCCTAACATATGACACAACGAGAGAGAACATTTTTTTGTCAGGGGAACCTAGACATGAAGCGATGGAACCGGGGAGACGCTTTAGAATCATGTTCCCCGGTTTGGGAGTCCAAGACTTAACCTCAGCTCTGTTTCAATAAGCGAAAAGGAATCGATCAAAACGATCTTGACGAGTTTCTCTTCATCCCGCAAACTTCACAGATGCTGCAGAATGCGCATTCATTGCAAGTGAGGTCACATGGATGTATACTAACAAAATGTACTCTCCTTGGAGAGCTCTTGGGGGAGTTTAGCTCTTGGATTTACAGATATGATTAATAAGCACGCTTATTTTTGCCTGATTTGCCAACGTGGGCGTGAGAATGCATCTGCTGTTCGCCTCTGGTCGGCGGGGGTGTCGGAACATTTGTGTCAGCTCTACAGAGAGGGGCCGTAAACAGAGGGCCAGTGCTCCTTTGGCAGTTGTTACACTTGTGCGTACACATTGGGTGTGCACGAGCACCGCGCCGCCGTTCCCAGCAACTCCCGTACTTTGATAGCGTGGTGTGTTTTTGATTTTGAGGGTGATGAGCGGTCAGAGAGCCAAGTTTGAGGTCCTCCGAGCAGGAAACCCCACCCCCCAGTTCTGCTCAACAGGGATGATGTAAGCATCGGTCAAAGGCTTGTCTTTAGAGAAGTGCTCCAACTTCTTACCACGCAACAGTGAGGACATCCAGTACATGCATGCAAAAAACATCTGCACACAAATATCTGACATTGTGTATTCCCCTGACAATAGAGGAATACATGTTATACATATAATGATAACAAAGTCCAATTCAAGGTTTTGCCTTCTCCATGATGAGGGGAAACAAGACCACTCTTCATAGGAAAATGTCTACATTCATATTAAGAAATGATACCAGGCATTGTCATTGTAAGTGGGTGACATTTCAATGCAATGAACATCTTTTAAAAAACAGAATTGTAAAGTGTGCATGCACAAATGGCACCTTCTTTGGATGAGATCAGAAAGTTTCTGTGGCTGTTCGCAGTTCTGAACGAGGACCTACAGACAGAGGATGTGTTCTTACCCCACGCGTGGCTGAAATTCACGTCCAGAGCTGATCAGAATTCCCGCTGCTGGGCACCTGCGTTGTGTCTGGTCTGATTCCAGCCCGCCCCACTGAGCCGCTCCACGCTGAACATGTCCCTTTCACGCATTTGCCTGCACAGCTCAGCCGCCTCTCTGTTGACAGCTTCTCCCAGTGAAGCAGCAGCCTTTACTCTTCCTCTCCCTCCCTTTCTCCCCACTTTCCCTTGTCCCCCCCACCCACCTTACACACTCCCTTTTCTCTGCCTCATAAACTTACCCAGGCAAACAACCGTGGCTGCACTAGACCCTGTATGGGCATGTAGAATATTCTCCGTTACGTCATGCAGAAACCAGCGTGTGGAGCCCAGCAAACTGTTGAGAACAAAAGGAGATCTATCCATGACAGAGTTTGTTTTTGACTTGTTGACCTCATGTGCTGATTTTATTTGTATTTCTAACTTTTACCCCAAGATGGCGCCAAAAGTGACATGATGAAATCTAGAGGGACATCAGGTGGAAACTATACAAAACACCAATATCAAGAGGGAATCTATTTCAGAACACCTTTTATAAAAGGGCAGATTAGTGGATTAAAGTTTGAACATTGGATGTGGGTTCACATGTATAGCCTACACATGTAGCTCATGAGCCATCTCATAGTTGCAACCTTTGTACACATTTGTTCCACTTTTTTATGTCCCAATTTTAATCAAATCTGGGGCATTCTTGATTTCTATACAATTCTCTCTTGATCTATTGTTTGGATACTGGGTTATTTATTATTGCGCGAGGCCAGGGCTAAATGTGAAAGAAGAGAAAACGTGTGCACCAAAATTGTGTCCAAACAGAATGGGTCTTTATTCAGGAAGTGAAAGAAAAAAAAGAAGATTGTAATCAACACCCCATTTAAAATACAAAACCAACAAAAATAAAAATTAACATGATATTCATATTGCATATCAAAGAACCATTCATTAATAATTACAATCCAAACACCTCATAAACCACTTTAGTGAATCTATACACGAACTCTGATTTAGAAATTAGTCACTTTAACAATAAAATTACAAATATTCAGCTTTAGAAATGATACAACTCAAAATGATATCTTAGCAATTAGCATCTTAAATTATATATAGTGTGTTTCACATAAAAATACAAAATAATACCAATGAGATTTAAATATGAAAAATTATTCCAAGAATTTTGCTACTATTAAATTAAATAAAAATGCAGGATAAAACAAGATGAAAGGAAATAGAAATATGCATGAAAAAGTCTCTCCTTTTGTTAGCAAAACACTATCCAAAATAACTACAATCATTTACATCAGTACAAAGATATCTGGATTTAAAAATACTTGCAATGAAAAAACGGGGTTTCTTTTTCTGACAGTAAAAAATGACACTGTGGATCAGAAATCTGCAAAATATGCAATGAAAAAAATAAATCTGCATTAAAAAGGTTTACACTGTAGTTCTTACTTTTATACAAACATTAGAAACAGTATTGCACATCACAACACAGATTCGAGGTTAGTCAGCCTTTCAAAATGTGTTATATTCAAGTTTCAGAGCATCTATGAGGACAGGCAGCCGGAGCCTCGATGCCACAGGGGAGAATCTCAAGTGTCTTCCCAGAATGAAATAAAACCTTCATGTTTCCTTCCTTCAAATGAAACGTGTCATGTGTATCAAAATAAGAATCAACTGTGTATCAAAAACTCTGATGATGTCACGAATCACATGATTCTGCTTTTTGCCTTTGAACAGAAGTTTTTGGACATAAGGGGGAAATAAATCGGAACATTAGTCCTATTTAAATAGAAAAATACAATCAAAATCAAATAGTTTTTTTTTTTTTTCCGTCTACAAAAATAGTGAAATAAATATGATTCTTTACAAAAACAAGGGCACGTACAGAACCGAGTAACAGTGTTTGAACATTGAAATTAGAACCTCACAGAAAACAAACCGAAAAAAGAGAAACAGCACGAGTCAAGTGTTACAGGTGACGATATTCAAACATCATCAGACGGTTTGAGAACTAAAGCCACAACGAGGGAGAGGGGGAGGCAAGGGGGAGAGAGAGAGTGGGGGGGGTCCGAGATGGGGGGGGGAGCTTTTGCCTCTTATCTAGTCACAGCCTGCGATGCCATTCTAACTCCCAGTCCTTGCAAAACAGCCAGATATTACATTAGAATATATTAGAAAATATCGAATTCTTGCTCTATTCACAACAAAACAATAGATAACTTAAGACCACTGCTTCACGCTACATCTTAAATACGCAATCATGAAAAAATAAAAATGTAATAAATCATCTATACAGTCATAAATAGGTGGAGCACACATCTGCACTGAAACCACGAGAGGGTGTGAAGAACAAGGAAGAAAAAGCGGGGACTTAGAAAAAGTAGTGCATCATATATATATATCTATATATGTATATTGTCAGAAACACATTGAAGGGCCAGTGATGCGCAAGTAGTCGACACGGGGGAGTTTAAATCAAACCAACCAGGCTAGAAAGAGTTCATGTCCCGTTCGGGGTTTCGGAACAGCACGCACTTGACGCCTTAACACTGATACTGAGGAACACACACGGGGGGGGGGGACACAACGACACCAGAGCAACACACTTGTACAGTACCGAGCGGACGGGCGTCCTCACACAAAGATTGTCCCTAAATAGTTATTAAAGAGTCCTCCGAGAGTCAGGGGTAGGGGGGGGGGAATCAAACACGCAGTGTATAAACAGAGAGAGCTTCATCTTCAACACCGGACCAGAGCCAGAGGGCCCCACTGTGAAATAAGCAGTCTTATGGGAGATCCTAAGGAGATGCTTATTAACGAGAACCGGTTCACTTACAAGCTGAATTTGCATCCGGTCTGCGATGCTGTCTCGGGTTAACCTTTGGAACCGTTCTAGGATTGAGGGTTAGGGAAAGGGTGAAGGCATGTTGTTAGACTCTCCTCTATGTATTCTGTAGGCAGCTAACTAAACTAGAGCCTAGGTCTACGGTAGCAACAGTCACACAGCACATGGACAACACAAACGAACACAAACCACTGAACACCACTCTGCTTTTCAACACCTTTTTTTTTCCTCTTTTGTTTTTTTTTTCGCCTTTTTTTTCTTCTTCTTTTTTGCCAGGTAAGCCACCAAACGATGGCGTCCACTAAGTCTACAGGTGAAGCTAGTTCACTCTTTTTTGAATCGATAATATGTAAACAGATCAAACGACAGAGACTTATCAACGCATGCAAGTTTACATGTTATTTTTTTAACTTATTTAACGTCGTCAGATTTTTTCCCTCTCAGGCTTCTGTAATTGATCATGCTATTGAATCACTATAGAATTTTTCTCTTTGCCTTTAAGTACGATTGCAGGGATTTATTTATTTTTTTGTTAGCTTAATTTAGTAGTTTTTTTTTTCTCCTCACATCTATCCTGCATGCTATTTGTGTAGTTAAGCCTATTGTGGTCACATGCACTCTAACTCTTTCTATGGCAACGGGGGCCATAAGTGGTTGAGTGCATACTGCATTTAATTTTACATGATTCGGGTTCATAAATGGCATTAAATATACTTACATATCTATTCATATATATGTATATATAGCAGCAAAGCTTCTAAAGTAGCTTGTTAAGTAGAAATGTTGTATAAAGTTAGAAGAAACCAGATTTTGTATTTTGAGGTATCACTCTACAGGTCAGTATGAGCGCAAAAAAATAACCTTATTTTCTTTTTCCTTGACTAAACTCTCTAAAAAAGAAGAAAGAGCCCATGGCAACATTAAAAAACAAGGTTTTGTTTTGCGGCAGACGATGTGTCGATTTTTACGCTTCCTATCGTTTTTGCTACCTTTGGTTAATGACCTGCGGCAGGTGGTAACGTCAAAGAATCGAGTTTTTTTTTCTCTTCTTCTGGAAACCGGTGCGCGCTGAGCGCACTGTGTGGTTGCTAGCAGCAGAACAAACAGACAGACGAGCTGCCCCCATGCAAAAAACATTCCCGTATCTACTTTGAATCTCACATACAAAAATAATAATAATAATAATAATCATAATCATAATAATAAAAAAAGCTACAAAAATCAATCTCTTTTTAAATCTTCTCTTAGAAAAGATGAAAGTACCACAAAAGAGTTGTAGAGTTGTCAGAGCCTGAGATGTGAGGGGGGTTTTGGTGAAAAACTGAGGCTTGTGGTGTTTGGCTGCTACAAAAGATATATAGCTATATATAGTATATACTGTATAGTGTTACGCACTTGATTATACTGATAGCTTAGGAAAGCAGGAGAGAGGCAGAGCGACGCTCTTTTTTCCTGTTAGCCTGTGATTCGTTTCCCTTTCCTTGGACTGTGTAATCGTGAATGTGGAACCCAGATCTCTAGTTCCAGCGGAAGTGGATCTGGCGGGGGCGGTCAGCGCCCTCCTTGACCAGGGGCTTGTGAAACTCTCGCCCGGCGCGGGAGTGGATGTTGGCCCAGCAGAACTCGCAGTAGTACTGGAGACAGGTGACGTTGGCGCAGAAAAAGGGAGCGAATTTCCCCCCGCAGCGGGCCCCCTGGCACTCATCGCACAGCTGGTCGTCCAACACGTAGGGCTTCACCTCCACCTGCCAGCACAAAGTTAGGGAGAAACAAATCCATGTGATTAGAATACTGATGAGGAGAGGCATAGAGGGAAGCTGACCATTTAAAATTCGAAGCAACGGGTGAATCATAGACACGTGAATGAGTCAGCCCAATAATTATGAAAAGAAGAGATTCTGGGGACTGATAATGACAGGGAGCTCGTACCCGCTTATCAATGTCGCCGTGCTGCAGCTGGACGAATCTGGCGCTAATGGCGGCGATGTAACTCTGCTGGTTGGAGAAGGCCACCCGTCCCGCCCCCTTGGGGTACTTGAGCTCCGGATCCGTGTCGATTCCTGCATAGCACACTCCGCCGTAGAGGCGATCCATAATCATGGCCAGCTCAACTAATCACAGGGTGAAAAAGAAAGGAGGACAGAAAGAAAAAAAAAAGAGGGAAAAGGGAGGTGAGAAAGCCGAGTAGCAGGATGCGAGCGGGAGCACAGCAGAAGCTGTCCATCTGTAGGCACTTTGCACCACTTCTCAGATGGTTCATTTGTCTGTCAAAACAAAGCGAGTGCACTAACTTGCTCTCAGGGGGCGTGGGACCCCTCCTACAAAGATGGTCTTGCGGGGATCGAGGGGCTGAGATCCGTCCATTACAAAATCGCTGTCGCTGAGGTTCCAAGGTCTAATTTGCACCTGGAGTTGAAGTCACATTGAGGATGAAGCAACTTCCCTTTTCTGCTCGTGAAGATTTCAGTGTCTCCATTTACTGTGAGAAAGTGCTTTGCCAACTCACGGGTTTGTCCTTGATAGTGGGGCTGGAAACGCACAGGTACAGCTTCCCGTCTTCCTCCATGCAGGCCTCGATCAGAGCCTGCACCGAGGTCTCCTCCTGGAACAGCAGGAAGGCGTACCCTGGAGCAAACACAAGGAGCCTCGATGACACGCCCCACACACAGAAGGCAAAATGGAGCCGCACCGTCTGAGATCTATGAGCAACGGCGGTTCGCTGCTTTTGTCATTACCTTTTGGTGGGAAGTAGGATTTGCTCTCCGCTTTGTGGGGCCAGTCCACCACCAGGTGACCAAAGCGACGGAAGCTGGAGGTGATTTCATCTGAAGAGAGATGGAAAAACCATCAGTTTACGACACAGATTATGGAACAGAAACGGCAAACGACAGCGGACCAATCGAGTCAGGCCGAGTTTTCAATGGTCTTCACCTTCGTCTATGTCTGGGGGCAAACCTCCCACAAACACCTTGCGGGAGAAACGCTCAATGCGTTCCCCGTTTTGGTGGGGGTAGCAGTTGGGGGAGCCGAGCACTCCTGGGACACCTTGGTTGCTGTGGCCATCGTCGAGGAGATTGTCATCAATAGGAAAGAGGGAGGAGCGGCCTAGTAGAGTACAAGTAGAAAACAAAAAGGCAGATGAGGATCCAGCAATAGTCAAACATTGTGATGAAAACCACAACAAAAGCATATCCGGCCCCAAATCAGATTATTAGCCCAGAATCCCCATTAGGCAACTCTAACTTGTCCGCTTGTTTCACAGCTTAATGTGGAGCGGATGTGAGAGAGAGAGCAGACGCCTAAACTAGGGATTATGTTCGGTTGTTTTTTTTGTTTTGTTTTTTTCAAAACAGATCTGAGACTGTGACACGCAATGGTGTGCGCTCCCCTCTGAGTTGCATTGCGAAGAAAAGCTGGGGTGGGAGGGCGGGCTGAGCAAAGCGAAGATGTTAAATAAACAAGGCAGAGCCATTCAGAGCCCCAAAGTGTACAGATGTCACAGGGTGTTATTGAATTACCTTATTACAATACAACAAAATAAATGATAAGTGAAGAAATTATTAAGGTTCAGTCAAAATTTTAAAAATGAGATGTTGCTTTTTGATTTGACATTGATTCTGTGTTGTGCTTTAAAGCAAGCTAGTGCCTGTTAGCTAGTAATAAAAAAAAAAAGTGGTTGAACTGAAGTGGATCACACACTTTTAATCTATGTAATCGGCTATGTTGCTCATGCTACATATCAAGCTAACCAGCTAAGTGGCTGTAGTGAGATCTGTAAAAATGATGAGGGATTAGCAGCATCTATGGATGATACATGATTGGTGAACACAAAGAGGCACTTTTCTCTTTGCCATGGCTTCGATCCCTCTGCAGGGTCTCTAAACGTTCGAGCCTTGATGAGGTTACACAAAGCATCTGAGCTTCTGAGTTAAACATCTTATTTAAAAACCTTTAACAGAGCTGGAATGTAACATAGCAACAGTGGCATTGGCATTTACCCTACATCCACTGAGCTCCAAATTGCAGCCGGTGCATTATCTTGTACAGTGGAAGCATAAAGGCGGCAGAATCTGGCCATTAAATATATAGTTGCATTCCTTTTTCAATTTTTTTTCTTTTTTCTACAGTTCCTGCCAGGTTTTTCAAAGCTAATCCTGCTGGATTTTAATTAAAAAGGGTTCAGATCAGAGGCTCATGGACAGCCACAATGGGCAATAAGGTCTTTACACTTTGGGGTTCTACGGGGAGGCACAGTCAAAGTTTCTCAGATCAACCCGGCCAAACCTGAAACCCTTCCTATCATCCACATCTGTTTGCTGGGACAACACAGCCGTAAAGTGTTCCTGCTGCATTTTCAATGGCCAATCATAATTCATTGAATGGATCCTGACACTCAAGGCCTCGGTTTGGCATTTATTTTTTTTAACAGGAAGCAAGGCTTTGTCAAACATGCCACGTGAAAATAAATCACAAGAAGACAAACACACTGGAAAAAGCTGAAATTACCTCGACGTCTCCCATAGCTCCTGGCTGCATGCAAGAAAGTACAAGAATGCAAGTTTCAGCTGTACAAATATATATTTTTCAAGGTATATATGTGACAAGAGGGTTACTTGTGGGGCTTACACCCACAAACACACACCCCTTCCCTATCTTTTTGTTACTTCCGACAAAACCCATGGGTTTTTTTCCCCTATCGGTGACATGAACTATATTAATACTCTCATATAATTACATAGAATTATGGAACGAGAGGTTTATTCGCCTTTCCGTGCCCCTGCAAACCTGTTCTAACCCGTTGTAAAACCAGATGGGTAGACACACTGAAGGCAGAAGCACCACTCAAAACTGAGCGTCCTCTGTCGGAGGCGGCAACACGTGTGGCCTCGTGAGCCAAAAAACTGCCCCCGAAAGAGGACAGAAATAATGACGTGACCCAAGTGTCCCGGGAGGCACCGGCGAGCGCCAGACAAGATAAAAAGACAAGCTCATAATTATTCAGGGAATGCTGTCTGACCTGAATTTTATTTTTTTTTCCCCCGCTGAGAAAAGATTGGGATTTTGATACCAGTGTAGTGTGTCCACACGTGAGGATGATTATGTCAAGCGGGCGTGTTTACTGAGGATCATGAGACACAGAGGGACGTGGTGCGGAGAGATAATTACCATTGAGCATGAGGAGGCCGTCAGCCCCGGGGTTAGGGCATCCCACACGGCCTGACACGAGAAACACACACACACATTTATGTTATACTCAGGTGCAGACAGATACACACAAATGGGAATGAAACAGAGTACACACAGGACGGACACTACATGGGAACAGACGCACACAAAAAAGAGACACTAGGTCACAGGTGTGTTATGCCGTCCACGTAGGGCAAACTAAAGGTAAGCAGAGTGGAAACCAAAACTCTTTTGTCGCAGAGATGGTACTTGCGCCAGATTTCATGGTAGTGGAGCAACTCCTCGGTTAACCGACCGTCTGATGCTTCTTTAAGCTCAGACGATAGAAAACTAGGGCTGTTTGTGGTAGCGGGGACTTTTCTCTTTCCCTGACGTTCAGGATGGTGAATGACACACTTTGTACTCGTGTCTATAAATTCAAGTTAGAGCTATTTAAATTTGTGGTTAAAAAAGTGTCTCTTCTGGGTGTTGAGCTTTTTTAAAATGTACATTCTAAAAAAAGTAACATTTAAAAGTAAAACCCCGCGTATATCAAATGTATAAAAATATATAAAACAGTGATTCAAAGTAATGGAGAAACATAATTTCTCCCTTTTAGAATTGAATTTGTATATGATCTATGCAGTCCCCCCCCCACACACAAAAGACACAGTTTAGTCACCAAATGCGACTTTACCAAATGTTTGTAGCACAACCGGAATCTCTCATTAAATCATCTGGCTGGTCTAAACCCGGAGTTCAGGCTAAAGATAATCTCCAAAGATAAACACCTGTATATCACTTTTAGACATTCTCCAGTTGCTTTCTGGTTTCCTTTTGTCCGGGTTTGCAGTCTGAGCTGCATGGACCCATCACATCTGAGCTCTCTGTGGTTTTATGCCTTACTTATCAGTACTCAAACAATGGCCCGGCGCACAGGGCAGCTCCAGCTTGGATATCTGGTTATCTGGCTCTCTTCATTCACCAGACAACCTGAAATTCAAGCCTTTGCCCTCACAGGGTGCCACCAAATAGAGGTCCAAACCACAACCCGAAATGACTTGAAGGTGGCTATAAGGATTATACTGCATATAGGTACGTTTTAAAATGTTCCATTGGGAGAGTGTTTCTGTTGCGGGCTGCAGGGATTGGACGGCTGATTTACAATCAGACATACATGATGAGACCATTGCTGGATTTATTTTTAGATTCTGAACCCGTTAGCCAGAAAGCTGGCCCAGGTTAACCACGGCAATGCTATAAATGGCCCTATCCAACCCTCTTTCTCTCTCATCTCCCCTCTTGGCTGTCACATACAGTGTGCGGAAGTGTGATCGCGTCTAAAATTAGTCCAGGACCCCCTCCCCACTTCTCTTTGCCGTGCACACTGGCCCATGTCCTCTCCATCTGTTCCTGCAGGGGGAAATAGAAAAGACCCCCCCTCCACCTCCATTGAAAGAAAGCGCAGGTCGATTCATCATTCATCGTTGATACAAACCAGAAACCATTTAAGTCATGTCTGCTTGTGCCTGGGATATTCTGTCTCTGTCATATTAGAGTAGGCATATGTGGAGTCTATCTGGCTTGCGAGGCTGAAAATGAGCTGCGAGCAGCCGTCGGTGGGAGAGAAGAGTATGAGCAGTGCAGACATTTGACACTGCTCCTCTGCATGGAAAGGGGGGGGGGGGGCTGTCACTCTGCAGTATACTATCTGCCGGACACTGCCAATTTGTGAGGTTCAAAAGAATATTCATCTAAGTTCGACTGGCTGCGATACACACAGACGACCTTATCAGAGAACAACTGATAAGTCATTTGATACTCAGCAAAGCCGGACGAGGCGCGTTCTGGTGTGCTCGGTATTCACTTCTTACCCAGATCTCTGTGCCTCCCAGGTTAAGCAGCCACAGGATAAGAGCTTTAAGGTCATGTAAATGTGCAGCTAGTGCCACAAGTATTAAGCTCTCGGCGGGGGGAGAAAATAAGCTTATGTGTGAAAAAAAACAACACAGCCCTGGGAGCGGTGAACCCGTCACTTCCCCGTTGTTGGGTCGCGTTCCCGAACACGATCGCCTGCCCCGGACCCCCGCGGCCCGCGGCAGAAAGGGAAAGGCCGTCTTACCTTTCATGGGGTCCTGCTCGGCTCGCATGATGTCGATCAGGGAGCTCTCCAGGGAGTGCATGTTCAGACTGTCGTACATTCTGGAGCGGTCCTGAAAAAAAAGACGCAGGTGCGAGGTCTCACGTCAATGTCCGGTAACTCGGCACGGCTTTTGTGATTTTGTGTACCATTAACTAAGCCTCTGGGGGGGGTCAGGCTTTCGGCCTAACATGTAAGCGATTTAAATGAGCAAGCGCCTCACGTTCAGATTAACATTCTTTCCGTAATTATTCGGTTTTAGAATTCCGCCTACGTTAGATTCCCCGTGCGGTTTAAAGGTTGGGGCACAGAGATCAACAAAGCCGAGGTGAGGTGTGCGTCAAGCAGCCGCCAAGATGGCTCCCACTGGGTGGATTATGCATGCCCCCTATGTGTCGACACTGAAAGGTGGGCAAATGTGGAATAATATTTCTATTTCTAACCATCTGTTGCACAACTCTAGCAAAGCACAGCGATTCTCATATTTCAACTCGACTGTGTACGATTTTCTTCCATTCAAAGTGAAGAAGAAGCAATACCAGTGAGGGCTGGAACATGTATCTGCCAACCCCGCCTCACTGTAATGCACCAGAGCCATCTAAACTGTACATGGGGGCAAGTTAAAGGCCACATCCTTACGATTTGGTTAAATGGAAATGAAGAGCGCTTCAGCAGTGCTTTTAAGGTCCTGCTGACCTTTTCCCCACAAGCCCCATTCAGCCACTTCCCTTCTTACTCTATGCATACCGTTTCAGGCACATACACACACATTCACGCACTAAAGAAGTCAATGGAGCAAGCCGGGGTTCGGAGCCCGGGCCAGGAGCAGCATATGGGCCGGGGAAGCCAATCCTTCAGATTGGCAGAGGACCACTATTCCTCCTGAGCTAAAGCTGCCACATGGTGATGTCACTGCTGTGGTTGTGAATAGTTATACCTCCATACTATGCTTTTTGTACTTCAAAAAACAATTTAATTCCATTTATGCAAGAACATCCAAGTAAAAAAGATTCAATTTTATTTTTCTTATGAAGTGAGATGGATTTTTTTCCCTTTCTGTTTTTCCTCTTCAAACCCCATCCATCATCCATCCATTTTCCACTGCTTATCTCTTCAAACCTAAGAATCGAAACGACTTGCAACCTGTCTTTGCTTCAGCCATTTGCAAGACTCCTTTTTAGCTTATTGGTGAGACCTTCCATTGTAAAGATCTCTTAACACATCCACTGTTTGTAGGTCGTGCTGCATGCTTTAGCCAGCTCTTAGAAACGGCTTCCATCAGAGCCACAAGCAGAAACTTTACGACAAATTAGTCTTTTACACCCAAGCTTTCCTCATGATATGCCAAATGTAGTACAAGGCTATCACATATGTCATTTTCTCAAATAGTAGCTTTTCCACAATACCGTATGAGGATTGTTGAGTTTTATACACTTAAATTTGACTAGAACTGTAACAATTAAACCACAAAATAGAGGAAAAAGTGTGGATTAATATCACATTGTAGAAACTAGAAAGGATTAGATGTTTATTGAGGGGAGCTGAATAGAACCTCCTTCCAGTGGCATTTAGTGCCTTCAGACTGAAGCGTTTTCATAATTCTTGTAAGTGGTTCAAACTACAGGGACGGTATGGTCATGATTTTAAAGTGACCCTCGTGCTTGTTTTTTATATGTTCTATTCTTAAAATGGGTACTTGACAAACACATAAGGGTCTATCTGGAACTTTAGCTTAAAACTAGTTCCTACACATGGTCTTACCACTCCACTAACCACCTTTCTTATATGAATAAAGGAGTGGTGGACCTCGAGCATTTGAAATGACCTTTTAACACCTCAGCTGTGAGGCTGACTGGAGGGATTAATGGCAGGAAGAAAAATTATGGTTCGTACTAAGAGTTTTTTGTACTAATAGGAGCTTCCATATTAATTCTTACTTAAGAATTAAGTATTCTTCAAGTATTCTTTTAAGTAAGAACATTCTTACTTAAAAGAGTAATCAAATTCTGGGAAAACGTGCTGTCGGCGATATCCACCATTTTGCAATGGGATTTAAAACACATTTAACTAAAGCAGCCTGTTCTCTACTAATTTGAGAAAAAGCCAATGACATCATTCTCTTTTAAGACAACTCCGATTTTTTTTTGAGGGGGGGGCATTCTATCATTTATAAAAAGGTCATTTCAACAAAACGAAGAGCAGTTTCTAGATGATGTCACTGCTGTCCATTGTTGGGAAACAGCAAACTGTCCCACAGGCACTTCATGCCCCCTGAAAGCAGGAGTGACTCTCCCCCACAGTGTGATGTTAAAAGCATGACACGGCAGAGATACAGTCTGTCACTGGCCCCCAAACATTAAACAGAGAGGAAGGAAGGAAAAGACTTGGAATCTGAAAAATTCTGGATCCGAGACTGTTTATGGAAATTAACAATCCACGGAGTCCGGCCTGTTTCCTGGAATAGGAAGCGGCACTGATCCCACAAATAATGAGAGCCCGTAGCAACAATCGCACTCTATTGGGACACGATTTGAACGACTCGAGGCCACAACGTTGTGCTGAATCTGAGAGAGCATTACGACTTTACACACAGTTCTACACAGCCGCCGTTTGGGGTTTTAGCAGATCTTGTATTCCAAATGATCAACTTTACTTGGGCTTTTTAACGCATGAGCGCTTTTATTCCCGCAGTCAGCTCCTCTGGGTGATGTACAGGAAAGTTCAGCACTGCGGTGCACGGGTGAAAACAGCTTACGTGGGAAGTATTAGAGGGAATAATGCGGCCTCATGAATGCAGAAGCATGCATTACACAGAACAAGTAAAGTCCTTGATATTTCTATATTGTACATTGCTAGAAACTGAATTACAAGTATTGGAAATGTGTGTAAATTGCTCATTTTTACCAATTTGTAGTTTTTGTTACTATGAAATGGCGCCTAAAAGTAAAGGCCTCATCTCAACTGACATAAAAAGGACAAAAAAAAAAAAAGATTGCTTCCATAGCCTTGGTTCTTGGAATGAATTATCTTCCCTGACAGACTTTTGGTGAAACCTGCAGACTGGAACTGATTATCATATTGGTATTGTCATAAATTGTGCTGAGGGTCCCTATAGGAGACTTTTATGGAGCTCTTTGGGCTTAATCTGTAATTCATCAGATTGACTAGACCTCGGCCGCTGCTTCTTTTCCGCCGGCCGCATACTGTTAAGCGAAACCCCTTCGTCTATCCAAACAAATACCTGCAGTGGCAACAAGGAGTTGCTGTTGCTGTCGGTCCTGAACATGTTCTCCTCGATCCAGGACTTAGGTCCGAGCGACGCCCCGGAGCGTGGGAACTTGGGTGGGGCGATGACGTTGCTTGAGAAGGGCTTCTTCAGGGGCGAGGCATGGCTGACCGAGCCGGGCACGCCCATGCCGCTCCCTCTGCGGTGGTCCCTGCCCCAGGACATCCCACCGGAGCCCCAGCCGTTCCCCTGGTGACTGCCCCAAGGAGATGGCTTCACCATGGGCTGCGCGCACACCGAGAAGAAGGGAGAACACACACAGGGTTAGAAACGCCACAAACCTACGTCTAAACAGAGATAAATTCCACTTCATCTTGTCCTTCAATGCAAACCCTTCAACCCCCCCCCCCCCCCCCCCAACCACAATCAGTCGCTGCCTAACTTGATCTGCTCCTGCAGCGGGTGGGTAGATAAGAAGATTTACGGCTTTAAGACTAATACTAAGCATCCCGTGCCTTGCGACACCACCAATGTAACTTATACACTCTCCCTCCACCTGGACCTTGTGCCCCCCCCCCCCCCTTTAACGTCATACATTCAGTCTTGCCTAATCTGATGTTGAAATCACACACAGACAGCCCTCTGCCCCTGGTGCATTCAACATAAACCATGGAAAGAGTAGCTATAATACCAATTAAATAAATAAATAAATATATATATATCAACTAGCTGTACAAAGAACCAGATCCAGTCATTTCCACCTCATTTCGATCACATGATCAGGAACACAGAAGTCATGTGATTGTGTTTGATGGTTTCATGCAAATATAATGCAACTGGAGCCAAAGCAAGAGAGGGGTTAAAGGTTGGTGAAACGACAACACTGCAGATGCACCACAGGCACACCCCACCACACACACACACACACAGACACAAGATCCGCCGCACACACACACACAAACACACAGTGTGCAAATCACATGAGAAACCTGAAGCTGAAGGCTACCAGCTCATCCGCCGCACAACCAGAACAAATGCCTAAGCCTCTGCCACTTCTCCTCAGAGTCCCTCAACTGTCTGCGGGAACACCGGGAAGCATACTGGCTGCTTTCTTTTCACCCAAAAAAAGCACCCATTTAGGACACAGAACCCTTCCAGCCTTTGTGTTCCCACTGAGGGAGCCACAAGACAGGGACGGCCCGGTGCAATGTGACTTCATCCCACTGCCAGCTTCCAGGAGAGAACAACAGCTAGATTCAGCAACGCTCCCCTGTTACCCTGTTCCGCCCTCCCTCCCTCCGCCTGAAGAGTAGAGGACTTGGGCCCTTTCATAATGCATCACACTTTTTTTTTATTATAATGCTTTGAGAAAATAACTGTTTATCCTCTAAAGGCCGTGGCTACGGATGCATTCAACCAATCACACACGCACACACTGAGGCTTTAGCCCTGCAATGTCACAGGCCTGTAATCTAAAGACATCCATCCCATTCTTCAAAATGAGTGGAGCCGTGACGTTTTCCCTTAAATGGACGGCAAAAAATATAGCTGTGGTGGGTTTCAGGACACTGAATTAACATGCTGGTTCCTGACTTGCATCAGGATGGAATAGAATGGCCCACAATGAGGCCCCCCCTTCATGGGATGGATGGTTTCCAGCCACTCACCTGGTGCTGGTTGTAATTGTTCCTCTGCTGCAGGAAGGCGCCCTGCTGGGGGTGCATCTGGGGACTGACGGGGGACCTGCGGCTCTGCGGCTGCTGGGGGACGTTTATCTGAGGCGAAAAGGGACCGCTGAAGCCCTGCACATTAATCCCGGCGCACGGATTAGCCGACACCGGCGAAAAACTCTGGAAGAAGGCCGGGTTGATGGAGGAAGGGATACCTGGGTAAAAGCTGTTCTCAGAGTCCGTGCCGGGCATCTGGCCGAGAGCGTTCGCGTGGATGGGATTGATGGAGCTGGGCACGGGCGGGGGGGGCGAGGAACTGGTCTGAACGGACCACGGGGTGCCGAACCCGGGGAGGGAGGGCGAGGACGACCCCCCGCCGGCGCTCTGCATCTCCGGGGCTGGGAGGTTCGGGAAAGCGGCGCCGAGACCTCCGGACAACATGTTGCCGGTGCTGCTGCTGCTGCCATTGCCGTTATTCAGATGGTGGGCGATGGGGGAGTCCATTTGGATGGTGTTCAGGTTGACGGAAGAGGGCGACGGCGATGCGGCATCGGCCTCGGCCTCCTCCACTGCGGAGCCGCGGGGGTCGGCGGCGTGGGGCCGGGCTTTGGAGAAGGGCTGCCTCTGCGGCAGGTGACCGAACAGTCCCTGGGGTGGGTGGGACTCCGCCGCCGGGGGGAAGTCGGCGTGCTGACTTAGCTGCTGGTGTATCTTCCGGCCGTGCCGAAGGTCACAGATGGACTGCGTCGGGCAGAAGGGCTCCCGGTCGAAGCCCGGGAAAGCGGTCCTCCGGTTCAGGTGGCCGTAATCCGGGGCGAACGCGCTCGGCTGGCCGTCGCTCTGGTTCGGTTTGCCGACCGTCGTGCCGCTGCCGCGGTCCTCTTCTTCCTCGGCTGGCGGGGGGGTCTGCGTGGCTGTCACCCCCCCAGGCTCATCCTGCATGTTGTGCTGATGCGCAGCAGCTGACGGGGGGAGCGGGGAGGCGGCGGAGGTTCTGAAGGGCGAAACCGGGGACCGCAGCGCTCGCGGACAAACCGGCAGAACGAGGCGTCGTATCCCTACGCCCGCCGCCGAAACCAAAAATTCGGCGTCTGAATTAAAGCGAAAACGCCCTTGAAAATATAATCAACCGACGTTTTTTTTTTATGAGGTCTTTTTTTTTTTTTTTTTCAGCAGGAGACTGTGGGTATATACGCTGTAGGCTAAAGCATAGCGAGGAGGGGGTCCGGCCTGTGCGGGTTTTCGCCTCGTTCTTGTCGTGAAGTCTCTTTGACTCGGTAATTATATCTTTCTACGTAAAGACCGAGCTATTTCGGCCTTGTCCACTAGCTTAGCCTGCGCGGCCCATTCCTGTTCGACCGTGCTACCCCCTCCTCCGGTGACCGGTTGTGCTGCTGCGGCAGAGGATTAAAGGTCCCCGACTGGAACTACGTCACGGCCGCATCACGCCTGTGTGAGCCCGCCTCGAGCCTCCAGCCCCAGCCGCAAAGAGGACCGCATTGTTTACGTCACTTTTTCATTATTCATAAAGTGCAGTTGGCCTACACCCTCGCCACACTCTGAAAAGTCTTCTACAGTAAAGCGAGTCGCATTGTGGGCCCGTTACAGCGACATTTTTTTAAATTAATTAACGTGTAGAACAGCATGTCTTTACGCCTGTCGAATCACATGCTACAAATGACCCTACTCAGGATGAAGGCAGGCAGACCGGCTTAATGTATTTATTTATTATTTGATTATCATAATAGAAAATGTAAAAACCCACTATTAAAATTCCATAAAGCTATTTTAGGTTGATAATTTGGAAAAGCTCAGGCGATTTCTTTCCGAGTGAAACTAATGAGCTCGCCACGTCTCACGTGGCTAATTATGCCACTTTGCCCTCTCCATCCATCCGTTTAAAAAATGCTTCGCCATGATCCACACCACCAGCGGGCTGAATTTCGTCCAGTTTTTCCAGGGCTCGAAGCCTATCAGTATTCGGAGCACAGCCATTGTGCGTGCGTCTGCCCCGGCGTCACTTTACGCACGGACGCCATCAGCTAAATATAGTTTTCTGTCAGCGCATGTCAGGGGAGATGAAGCTCCATCGCCTGTAGTGTACTCCAAGCTGACAGGCAGCTCTGCTGCCATATGACGTGCCTCGTAAATGACCACCGCCACCATCAGCAATACATGGCTACGGGCAAATTCTATTTTTGCCTGGATGAAAGAGGCGAGGTTGGTCTTTGTCCCATAGTATCCCATGGTGTCTGCCTATAAGGCCTTGAATGGAAAGTAAAAAATGGCTTTCATTAGGCTCTCCTTGACTAAGTGAATTACACATTCAGCTGAACAAACGTCACCTTTAAATTTGTGAGATGCAAAATAATAGTGCTCTCCATTCCCTGGGTTTGAATCAAAGGCCCTCCTTAATTTAGTCTATTCTGTGCCTTTGTTGTGTGAACCCTGCAGCCTATTTGTTTTATAGCATCCACGGACACGGGTGGCTTCTCTTTATAAAGCCTGGAGCTGAATAAATCACTGCGGTATCTGTACCTGAATGTGGTTTCTAATGAGGAGGACAGATATCGGAGCAGCAAAGCAATGTGCGTGATCAACCTACCATCTGGTCCCTGCTAATGATGATGGCTTATCTAAGAATAAACTCCAATCAGCGCACCGCCCTGCATTGTCACTCGTACAATACCTTTTCAAAATGACTTGATTACACAAGTGCTGGCAACTTCAGCGCCTCACATAAACTCAGGGAGGATTATTACAGGGAAACAATCTTTAAAGTTGATTGCTGTGGCTACTCACAGTCTGCTCAGAGTGTACACAGGAGTCATAGTCATCATCATTACCATCATTGTCTTGTTATTGAAATTTTCTGTGTACATGTTTTGCCAATCTACATTCCCACAGTCTGAGAACATTAAAATCATGAATGACAGCGTTTGACTCCAATCCTGGAAGTGTCCTACCTTCTCACTTGCACCCTGAGCTGTTTTGAGCTGTAAGAAGACACCCCCATCATAAGGACCCAGATGGGACGGTCCCATCAGTGAGTTGTGGGTGGGGGGTGGAGGGCGGGTGGCTGCGGTTATTGGTGAGCACCAGTGATTAGCCGGGCCCAGTAAGTGCTGGAGGGAGTTCAATGGGGGCATGATACCAGCTGCTGGTGTCTGATGATGATGAGCTAGGGATTGGGTGGGGTGGGGGCTGGTCTGGGTGGAGTTAAGTGGAGGGAGAGGGGGTGGGGGTCCACCTTTTGACTCCCAGCTGCCCTACAGAATATGACTTGACATTATATGTATAAATTATATATACTATGTATATATATATATATAGACAAGCTGGAAGTCAAAAGATGGACCCCCACCCCCTATATATATATATATATATATATATATATATATATATATATA